TCATTAATTATCTATTTGAAAATGAATTCATTATTAAATCAATTGGAATATAAATAAACTAATTAATAACTAAATTAAATACAAAACTCTTAAATTATAAAATTATTTTAATTATATATTAATAAATGAAAAAGAATTCTATAAAGTTTAAAAGCTTTAAAAAACTTCTTATTATATAATTAATTCTAAAACCTTTCCTTTTCTAAAATATTTATTTCAAAAGTTTTCTTTTAGAAATTATAATCTTAGAATATAATATCCTTTAGAATAATTGTTTTATTATAATTAATTAATTAGAATATTTGTTTTATTTTAATATAATTATTTAGAATATTTATTCTAGAAATCTCGAGGTTTTATTTGTAAATGATTAAACCTTCTAAAAGTAATAATTAAATTATACCCCTTTTATAATTGATATATAAATTATTGATATCAATAATACTATTATAATTTAATCTATAAATTATAATATCAATAATCTATCGAATTGTCTTTCTTTAATTCAATCAAAATCTTTATTTAAATTATTATAATAATAGAATATAAATAAACGATTCAAATATTTATTTTTAATTTATTTTATAAAGATTATAATAAGTATCGATTTTTATTATATAAATTAATCTTTATTATATCTTTAATAAACAATTCTTTTTAATTTTTATATAAAGGATTTTATAATTGATATTTTTTTTTTTGAAGAAACTATATTCAATTAAATTAAATCATTTTTTAATAATCTAATAATCAAGATTATTAATAATTAATTAAACAAAGATATGAAATCTGAGATATATTATTTCTTCTTCAATTATAAATTATTCAAATAAAGATTCAATAAAGTATTTGAAAAGGTAGATCCCGATTATATAATTGAAAGAGTATTATAACAATTTAAATAAATTAGATCAATTATAATTTATATTATTAAGTTTCAATAATATATCAAGTATATTATATAAAATGATAATTATCTAAAATTATAATTTTATAAAAAATTGAAAAATATCATCAAAAATAAACTAGTAAGAATTTTGAAATTATTTAATTTTTCTAAATTAATTGAAACTTTTATTCTTATTAATAATCGATTTTATAAAAAAAAAAAAAAGATTATTTAAAAACAAAAAGTTTCAAAAATTAATCATTAAAATAAATATCAAAATATCAATGATTTAATAGACTTGAATAATACTAAACGATATTATATAAAACTAAATAATTTAAATATTAATAAAAAGAAGAAATATAAAAAGAATAATTTATATTATATTTATAAAAAATTGTTTTAAAAAAGAAATTATTTATTATAAAAAGTAAGAGATATATAAAATTCGGAAATAAAAGAAAACTTGAAGGAAATAGATTTATTAGAAAAAAATCTATTTTAATTCAATTTTAAATAATTAAAGGAATTGAATATTATTATTCAAAACTTTAGAAATGATATTGAAGGAAATATCAATTACAAAATGAATTTTCAAAATTTTATAAAATAAAAATAAGGAATCTATTAAAAATACAAAAGAATTAATAATTAATAAAATATTATTAATTATTTCAAAAGAACAAATTATAATATCTAATCAGTTATTTAAATAAGAAATATATTTAATATTATTATAAAAAAGAAAAACTAAACTTTATCAAAAATATCAAATCTATAATTATTTTATTTTATTAATTTTTAATATAATGATGTATAATAATATATATTATATAATATTTAAAGAAAATATAAATATAAATAATATCAAAAAATATATTATTGATATAAATTCCTTTTATATTAACAAAGTATAGAAATATAATAAATATTATAAAAGTGGTAGGTCGAGATATATATATCCTGATAGTATATTATAAAAAGGGAATTGAAAGAGAAAGCTGAATTAGATTATATTGTAATATATCATTTATAAGTAAAACAAAATTCATAATGGTTTTGGGGTTGATATTATGTAGGTTCAAATATATATATATAGAAAGTTGATTATTATGAAAAGAAGAGGCAAAAAGTTTTTCTTTTATATCTAATTATAAAAGATCATATGATTAATTAGTTAAAAACCTTTATGTATTTGATTTATAATTTCAACTTTCTTATAATATAATTTAGAAATTGAAAATATATAAGAAATTCTATTATAAATTAGAAATTGTTATATTTAATAAAGAATCAATAAAGATAATAAATTAATTTCAAATCAAGATTATTGTTATAATTTTCAAATAAAATTAGTAAAATTATTATTTATTATATTCTATTAATTATTAAATATAAATAAATAATAATATAAATAATTGAATCTTTTATCAAAAATAAATTATCTAATTATTATTATTAAAATTCAATAATATTATAAGAATTGAACAATTAATTATAAAGATCAAATTAAAGAATCAGAAAATTAATACTTTAATTGATTCAGAAGTTATAGATATATTTATAAATTCTGATTTTGTTAAAGAAAATAAAATTCTTATAAAACTAAAACAAAATCTTTATTAATTAATATTATTAAAAGATAAGAAAACTAGAATTGATAATTAAATATATAAAGAAATTAATATTATTAAAATGATTATATTAAATAAATATATTAAATAAATCAAAATAGATTTAGTATTATTAAACAAATATATAATTATCTTTGATGCTGTAACGATCTGGTCGAGGCAGTGGCTGCCTGAGGTTTCGTATGATTGGTAGTTGTAGGTTAAGGCTAATAATCATTGGTTATCCATTTGAAGGTAAATATATTACTAGATCAATTGGAATGTAAATAAACTAATTAATAACTAAGTTGAGTACAAAGCTTCTAAACTATGAAACTATTCTGACTATATACTAATCCATTTCGGGAGCCTTCAAGAACGTGGGCTCCCGTAGGCTCCATCATGTGACTAGGATCAGACTATATGTCCGAGCTTGCTGAAGGTGGGGAGACTATATGAAGCGGTTGTTATACAAATTTGTATACAAGTTGCTTTGCTTTTCAAGGAGGTCCAAGCTCATAAGGACAGGTTGACTGTTACCCTGTAATATTTTATAAAATGATTTTGTGATAGATACCTTTTAGATTAAGAAATATAATTCAAATATTGATTGAATAAAAGATATTCTAATATTCGATCAATACAGATATAAAAACAAATGATTATATAATCCAAAAAAACAAATTTTCAAGAAGATATTATATTATATTATAATAATAATAAATTCTTTATTAAATAATAAAATCAATAAAAAAGAGATTCTAATATAATATAAAAGATTTGTTAAACTATTTAAAGATCTATAAGATTTGAAAGCTTCATTAGAATATAAACTTTAAAATTATAAAATTAACTTTAAAAAAAGATTTGTATCCTTTATTAAAAAATTAAGATTATACAATTTAAATATTATAAGAGTATAAGAAGAATATAGAACTAAAACTGAAAAAAAAATAGATTAAAAAATCTAAATTTCTTTATATATTCAATATATTATTAATATTCAAAAAAGATAATTTAGATGATTGATCTTATAGAGATTATTATTAAATTAATAATAAAATAATTAAAGATATATATCCAATATCAAAAACCTAAAAATTCAAAGATAAATTAAACAAGATAATGATTTATACAAAATTAAATCAAAAGAACATTTTTAATCTTATACAAAAAAAAAACACAAATAAAAAACAATCTTTATATTACTATCAAATTTATAGAAATATATAATTATATTATTCAGATTAATCAATATATTAACTATATATCAATAACAAAACAATAAAATATTCAAGAAATTCAATTCATTCATAATCTATTATCTAAATGATATCCTAATCTTCTTTTAAAAAAAGAAAAAATATAAAGAATATATATTAAAAGTATTCAAAACATTTAGAAAAATGGATTTACAATTCAAACTATCGAAATACGAATTTGAAATACAAAAAATAATATTTTTAAGATATATTATACAATCAAAACAAATGAATATAGATTTTAAAAAAAACAGAAAAAGTAAAAAATTAAAAACAATTTAGAAACATCAAGAATATACAATCTATATTAGGATTTGTTAATTTTTGTTGAATATTCATAAAAGACTTTTCCAAAATAATAGAATCTTTTATCAAAATAATTAAAAAGGGAATAACTTTTGTTTGAAACAAAAAAATAAAATAAACTTTTCAAAAAATCAGGAACAGATTTATTAAAGAATTTCTTTTTTACAATTATTACAATAATTAAAAAAATATTATCAAAATAAATATTTTTGATATCTATATAATAGAAATCTATTTATAAAAAAATAATAATAGGAAATTATATTTTGTTGTTTATTATTCAAATAAAATAAATAAAACAAAATAAAATTATAATATTTATAAAAAAGAATTTATAACGATTATAAAAATATTAAAATATTAAAGAATTTATTTTTAAAGAATGAAGTTCTTAATAATTATTTATATTGATTATATAAATCTTTGAATTTTTATTATTATTAAAATTTGAAATAATTATAAATTAAAAAAATAAACTAAGAAACTAATAGAATTTGATTTGATAATTAAGTATATTAATATTACAAGAGATATAATCTAGATCATATAAAAATAATCTGGATCTTTAAAGGGTTTATAATTAAGTGTCAAATAAAGATTTTAAAGTAATATCAATAATTACAATTTGTAATTAATAATAAAATATATTAAATAATTAATTTTGAGTATAAAGTTTTTATATATAGAAAACTCTTTTAATTTATATAAATCTTTGTATTTTATAAAATCTTTGAAATTTATAATTTATATAAATCTATGATTTGTATAGATTTACAATTTGTATTTTTGTATATATAAAGTCTATCATATAATCTTTTGAATCAAATTATAAGTCCGAGCTTGTTGAGGGTAGAGAGATTATATAAGACGATTATTATATAAATTTATATACTGCAGAGAAATGGAATCACTAGGCATGTTTGACAAGATAAAGCGCATGACATCATATTGTTGCTATTTAGGAAAAAAATACTCATTAACAAACTTCAAACTTGCATTACAATAGCGATTGGCCAATATCCAACAATAACAATTCTGTCAATTTCGTCCCAATTAGTTACTTTTTGCCAGGTAGGGAGAAATATCGAAAAACAAAAAAAAAACTTCAATTCCTCTGCAATACAAACTGTGATTGGCATGCGTCCGTCAGTCCATTTTCGACGATTTCGATCCAACTAGTTGATTTCTCCTTATCGTCACCTCTGTTATTGATTCTGGCTGTCCAAATTGACTGAAACGACTCTCCCGCTTGTAGAATAAGATTGTTCAAACTACCGGATGTTTCTTTTGGAAGACCTGCTGCTCGGAGATCGTATTCGTAGTATATTGATTCGTTCCCCAGTCTTGCTGGTATGGGCAATTGCGCGCTTGTAATTTTGCTGGGAGTGACGAAGGTATGTCCATTTTCATTTTTGTCGGCATCAGTATCGGGAACCAATATAATATTTTCAGTATCGTCAGCGCCATTTCGAAAGAGACAGACGTCGTCATCGCCAGAGTAAAGAGTGATAGCTGCGTTTGTTATGGTAACTTCGCCAGAGGATTCATTCTTACCCGTGATGGTGATAGTAGTCACTTGGCCTGCAGTAACATCGGAAGCAGAGATGGAGTACTTGAGGTTAGACTCAGGGGAAGGATCGAAGCTGGCTATGAGTTCATGCCCGACATCGTCGATGAAATTAGCAATTGGATCTGGAGGTGGTTGTGCTTTGATAAAGAGATTGATGAAGAGCTGGACAACCATGAGGATCACTCCAACCACAGCCAGAACTGCACCAAGAATAGGCAAAGCAACACTAAAAGTACCAGTGACCGCCCACAGGCCAATGTCGGCTCCAACATCAATGATATCGAGCAAAACGGTCAAGCCTTGAACGATGATATTGAGCACTCCTATCCACTTTCCAGGCTCAGATAGAGAGCCCCAGTCGGTTGCCAACGCAAAGGACATGGCAACAACCAAACCAACCCCAAGAATCGCGTTGAGAACTCGTAGCATATTTCCAGAAAAATTGAATTTCTTCGGCACATCCTCATAGCCTGGTGGAACGTCGGGAACGATATCTCCAATATCTTTATTCCAGCTTCCTTCGCCTTCAGGTTCTGTGGGAACCCCTTCGCCATGAATACCATCCGCGATCGCCGTACGATAATCCTCCTTGCCTGAGATCTCTTGAGCTAAATCCCCCATTTCACTGCTTTTCTCAGTAATCTCCTCTGAAACGCTAGCACTGAGGGCCTCCATGTTGACCTCATCTGCTGGAGTAGAGGCTGGCTTTGACTTGAATTTTTTGAAGGCATCCAACGCCTTATCGACACCGCTAACCACCATTCGGACTACCTCGATAATAATAACTGCTCGTTTATCGTCCGATAGAATGTCCCAATTGTTCACTAAGCCCCAAAGACTCACAGCAGCAATAGCCAAACTGACGCCAACCTATTCATCATGTATCTATTAGCTCAGTCCTTGAGTGTACAACAGCAAATGAAATAAAAACTTACCATGCATATGCTTGAAAGACCTTTCAACTTGCTGACCCCAGGAAGCGATGATGAAAACTTCTCAGCGACTCTATCAAAGGCTTGGCCGACCCATTTCCATAATGCAGTCCCAGAAAATGCAGCTTGTAGCCCCTTTCCAATGTAGGAGAACCATCCACTTAACTCCTGCATGAATAGAGTACTTTTCTCTAGTAGTGCAGCTGCTCTTGTCTCCGCGTCAGCTTCTTGATTTAAATTATTCTGTTTCTCGAAGTCGTTAATGTCCTCCATAATTCCCTCTTTCACATCGCTGGAGATGGAAGGATCGTCGTTTATTATTGCCACGATAAGATCCTTCATGGAATCATAAAGCCAGTTGTATTTGGCGTCCTCATCACCGCCGGGCTCGATGTCTGCAATCGATGCACCTTCATTCAACGCAAAAGCCATGAAAGTGTTAAAGAATTGCTGAGACCAGTCTGCAGACGGACTCAAAGCATCTAGAATATTGCACTGCTTGTTGATTAAGTTGTTACCCTGAAGCAATTGTTTAGTTCTCTGTGGTAAAAAGTGAAAGTACATCAGATATCATAAAATGAGGAGATACTCACATCGTCCCCTATCGGAAAATGAACCCAGGTGATCAGCAGAGCGTGATTCTTAGTGATCTTATCGTAAAGCTGCGAAGCCCAGTTATCGGGGTCGCTATCGAGGTATGGCTGCAAATTGTCGTGGTATCGCCCTTTCATTGCCTCTCGCGAACTAAGGCGGTTGATGTCATTGTATTCTTCACTTTGCGACAAACAGTTCTTTCCATTACCTTGCCACCAGTACCAAAGCTTTTTCATGTCCTTGTCCGTAAAAGAACTCATGTATTTCTGTGTCCGACCAACATAGCGGCAGATGAAAGCTGGGCCATACTTGTCTTTGAAAAATGTCTTCAGCTCAGCTGGCAGATTATCTGCTAAAGCCAACGGGAGTTCTTTCGGAACGGAAGGCTTTGGTACTTTTAGGATATCTTTCCGTTGGTCCTCATCCATATGGTAATACATCATATTTCGTATCAACAGTTGAGAGTCATTGTGCAACTGATATGGAGTTAGTTTTTGTTTGCCTATTGCCAATCGAGGGGAAAATATTAGTCCAACTTACCGATTGTTCTTGGTATCCGCCAAAAGTAATGAGATCCTTGAGGCTCGGGTCGCTGAGAGCTAACAGACTTTCTGTCACCGTGGCGGGTTGAAGCTTTCCATCAGATGGTTGAGCTTCCCCAGACTTCAAGGCTAATTCATACGCACGAGAAATCTTTAAGCGAGAAGCAGTGACCGCGTCTGACTCTATGATAGTTCCTTGAACTAAATGTCTGGTTTCTGAGTCAACTAAGTTTGTTCATTATTTTCTTTCCAATTATTGTGAAAACTTACCGGTTTCCTTTGTATCCTCGTTTTGTGGGATCGTATTCGAAGAAATAGCCAGTAAAGCTCTCGTAAAAAGCATCCACCGTGAAGTTCATCTCAGTGAAGAGCGATGGTAAAGTGATGTCAATATCCAGGTCAGATTTGAAGCTAACACCAAATGTTTTCTTCATGTCGAGGCCAGCATCAGAGATAAAAGGAACAAGAGGTGCACGCTTAAATTTTATCGAGAATACTGTCTCGCCGCCTTTCAATCTGCTGGTGACATCATAGAAGCTGCCAAGCTGTTTGCCAAACTTTTGATTGATCTGATCTCGCAGCTGCTCCACCAAAGTAACTCTCATCGAAAGGACTTCGGTTGGAGGACCGTTCCAGAAACCATCATCAAATATCCCTCCATCTATGGGTTCCTCTGGTTCAGTTCGCTCAGTATCAGGAGGCCAAACACTCCGATCCATTGTAACTTGCCATTTTGCAATCGACTCCCAGCTATTATCATCTGACTCATCTGCACTCCTACTTGTATTACCGCCTGTCAATTGATCAAGGCTGCATGCTTTAGCCTCAAATGAATGGACCTTATCCCGTGGAGGAGCTTCCTGAGCCTGATATTCAGATGATATGTAGATGACTCCTTTTCCTGCTATGGCTCGGGAGTAAATCTCAAACACTCCATGTTCAAAAAGGTTGGTTTGCTTCAACTCCCTGGTCCATCGAAATTGCCTCTTTCGTGAATCGTATGTGCTTCGGATTTGCACTTCTCCCTGTACAATAAGATAGCCATCAACTAGGCTCAAATCTGGAAGCTCATATCCCGCTGGTAGTTGATCAACATGATGAGCTTTGAGACGGAATCCTCTAGCGAGACGATCAACAGGAAAACCTCTGGAAACTGATAGAGCTTTGGACATTTTGATATTTTCTGTATAATTCAGAGGATATTTCGAGTTCCAGAAAGAAGATTTCTGCCCATCTGGAGAGTTGTATTGACCAAATAGCTCCCAGTTCAATCGTTCGTAAATAGCCTGAGAATCAAACTTTCCGAACATGGACCGCAACTCCTGAAAGTGAGACAATAGAGCTAGCCTCTTGTCCCCTGGGACTTTGCGAAGCATCTCTGCGGTCTCTTTCAAAGCGTGAGATTCGGAGTTCATGTCAACTAAATAACTGTTGGCGTGGTAGGTCTGAGCATTCCCAGGTAAAGAAAGGGTGAATACGCTGTCCACTTGACATTTTTTGGTTTTCTCAATTGATCTAACTGCAACAGCTTCATAGTCATTCGACTTCAGACGAAATAAAATATGTCCGACGGCGAGTTTGCCAATGCGACGATACGAGTTGAGTTTTTCTGCTGCTTCAGGGTCGACCGCTCGAGGCCCTGTCGTTGTATGGAACACCTGTGAACTGAGGGCCCAGGGTACCTCTCCATCTAAAATTTTATTAAGTCATTAAAGAGTTCTGGGTGTTTTTAGTTTTGAAGTGACCTACTAAAACCAATTAAATCTGCCCTAGGAGACTGTCGGACAGGCGTCGGGAAAGCAGTGACGGAGAACTTGGAATCATTGTTAACTAGAACTCTATCTCCTGGAGATAAAGCTTCAATCGATCGTGCTGTTCCATCGGCAAGGCTAATCGAAGTTCCAGAGAAAATGATGTTCCTTGGGGATTCGCCTTCATTGAGGGATATAACAGGAAGATAATCCATTCCCCATCCATAATAATCATTATACTCCTTAGAATATGCTATACTTGAAAGTTAGACCAAGTAATGACTGAACTTTCTGCTTTGCATAATGATGACATACCATCTTGCTGCCACAAAGTGACAGCATAAAATTCTTCAGCTAAAAAAGCTCGGTGCAACCCGACGTTCCAGTAGGGAAGGATTTGCTTCTCCCAAGAGTTTGTTAGCGCAAGACAATAAGAATTCCACTCGTTTACTAAATCTTCTTGGTCTTGTAGTCGGTTCAGACTATCTTGCAGCTCCGTATTGTAATCACCATCGTCGAAAGCTTGAACGCCCATATGCACGTCGTAGAATTCCTTTGTAACTATCCAGGTCTTCGCAGGTCGCTGCACGTTAGTGGTGGCATTAGGTGGACAAAGCCCAATTGTAGCTAGTCGGCCACAGAACTTGACAATTTCGTCCATTTTTGCTGGATTTCCTTTACCTTCGATTTCCCATAAAGTGTAAGACCATTGATTCAATATTTGGCAACTTGCCCTGTCTTGAAATTGGATTCCGGAGGAGGTTGGTGCGGTACGGTATACGTGATTCCGGTCCTGCATATAGTCCGCAATCATGAGCCACGCGATGCTGAACAGATGATCGGATCTGATGATATCTGTCCTTATCTCATTGTTAATGAAACTTTGCGAGGTCAGAAGGCTCATGTAGTTCTCAGAGAAGCCAAGGTCATTCCAGAGTATCTCCATGTTAGGCGCCTGTTGAGACTCGAGCTCTCGATTTATGTGTTCTCCCAGACAAAAGCCCATGAGGTTTGTAAGGACCTCAAGGTAGCGTACCTCAGCATTTTCCTAGCCCACTATATTAGCATGAATGATTAACAGCATGTGTCCTTGTAGGAATGGTGCTAATGTCTTACACCGCTGACATATTGCTTTAAATCTTTGGGGTCGTATTTATCATCAACATTAGCGATTCCGTTACTGATCGTGGGAATTGAGGCCTTGACAAATAAGTCCCATATATCGAATATGTCGATTATCATGTTATCAGGATCATCGTCATTTGGAGGGTAGTTAGGAGCCCTGTCAATGTAGGGTTGTAGATGAGGGTAATATTCGAGACTAGCTCGAACCTTGTTATGGAGCCTATTGGTATAGTTATCGTAGGGGAATGACTTGGCAGCTTTGATACCCTTAACGGCCTCCTCAAAGAGTTTTTCGTAGTCTGACATCGTGATGCAATGTGTTGAATAGGATGGGAGTGACAGAATTGTTGGCTGAAAAGAAGGATGGGGAATGACTGAATTGTAGGAAATGCAGAAGGATGGTGGGGAACTTATACGACGGAGAACTTTGCTTTCGATATCTCAGCTGAAGCATTGAATTAAAATGAATCTTTATCGGCTACATACCCGAGTCCGTGAGGGAAGGCTAGCTGAAAGTCCGAGATTGGCGCAAGCTAGGTTTCCAAAACGTTGTCAACAAATCCGTCTCAGCCATATACGTCGTCGTCATACTCTCTCAGATAGTACGTACACAGAGCCTTTCTAGCTTATTAGAAAAAGAAAAAGATAATATGAATTATTTTCCTCTTCTCCTTATCAAATAAAACAATTAATAATTTAATTCTTATAGTCTTTTATATTATATAATATTAATTTTATTTAAATTAATTGAAAAAAAAATTAAAAAAATAACCGAGATTAATAATTATTAAATAAATAAATAAAAATTTACAAAAATTATATTAATGAGTTTTAGAAATCTATAAAAGATTTTATAATTTTATAATATAAATCTTTTATTTCAATTATTTTTCTTGTTAAAAATAACAAAAATTGATATTTATAATTTTTTTATTGATAAATATAATATTTTCAAATTTTGAATATAAATTATTTATTTATATAATAATAGATTTTGATAATTAGATTTTATTATTAAAATTAAAAAGGTTGAAATAAGTTGCCCCGGTTCAGAGATATAGTAGCAGTGATAGAGTGATAGAGGTAACACAATAACATGTCCTGTATAACGGCCGAGGCGGGGTAGCGTACGGCAATTGCATCATCGTACTTCCGGACCCAATTACAATCAAGAAATCAGATGCGACCCCGCGTTTCTAAGCTAGCTCGGCAGTGAACACCTCAGCCCCTCTTTCCACATAAAGATCACACTGCAGGCTTTTGCATATCAAATTCGAAGTCAACCATCTACACTCAGACAACGCCGTTGCAATGCTACAGTATCACAGTCTGAATTGCGCACATCTATTACTTAATTAGACGCATTGTTGAATGCAGCTATCAGGTCATTATTGAGGGAGTCAACGTGAGGGAGTTGATTTTCATCCCATTTTCAGCAAGCCACCAATTGCAAATGGGCCAATAATTCAGCAAATAATCAAGGAAAAGGGATGCAATCGCAGTCGAAATCGATACATGAACAACACCGTAAACCGTCGTTATTCATCAACCTAACGTCACTGATATCTGCATGACATCAATATTTTCATGAAATTTCCTACTCCGCGGAGTAATTAATACAATGTGATGTCACAGACGGAAGTTAGATTAAGCATGTCGAAAGAATAGTGTAATTTTTAAGGCGCTCGTGCCGAATAAGTTTTCAGCTGGGAGTAATCCCAGCGCCCAAAACATTTTCCAACGATGATCTGTGGGAAGCGATCGTCGAATACGGCTTTTAATCGTTACAGAATGAATTTGGATTCCCGCTTCTCGGGCAGGCCAGCAAAATGAGATAGGAGAAGGTAGATATCAGAAGGACAGTTTCAACCCGTCCACGCGATGGTGTGAATCGTGGCACGTGCAGTAGTATATCTTGATATTGTGCTTCAAGTTCAAGCATTGCGCAGTGGACGGAATTTGGGAAAATCTTCGAAATATGCCATCAACACGTGGAAGCCCATGAGTTTATTTATGCCATCACTTCATGCGTTGTGTATTAAACTTACATCACAGATTTTCAGTATATGAAAGCCATGAATGAAAAAATGCTGGATCTTAAAGCCATGTCTAAGGATTGAAACTCATAATGCCACTGACTGTTTTGTCAGGAACCATTTTCAACTTCTACAAATGGCAATTGCTGTTTGAAATATTGAGCAACAGCCTTGAATTAACAAAATTAAGGGTTGAAGTACCACAAGGATATGAGAGTAGAAATGTGGAACTGAGAGGCATTCATGCCGCGGGATCAAGGTTTTACTTTCCACCCTTTTCCTGGTTCCAGTGAAGTCACAATGTTTATGCTTGAATTTCCACGCATATACGAATCTTTCTCCATATGCTATCTTGCCGCACATACATAGAAACTCAAAATGATGCAATAAGTCCACCCGTTTTTAAGTTGCGAAGCCATTACTCTTAAAAGTAGTAAAATGCCAATATTGGCGTTTAGGGCAGCGTTAATGGCGCATAGGTATCTGCTGAGGGTCTTGGGATCAAGAAATAGGCCTGGCAGAATCACTTGGATACCACAACAGCCTTTTGAAAAAAAAGGAATGCTATGCCCACAACCAATGAAACGAAAAACATACAAATCACCAAGTGAAGCCAACCGCAAACGTCCCTAAGAATGGGTTCACCAGTTTAATTCCACAAATTCTCATCTTATTTTCGGCTAAGATTTTGAGTATTATTAAGAGCCCCACATGGACGATGTTGCGGGGTTCGCATAACACCACGGATCAGCAGAACTCACAACATGAACCGTGAACGATTCATTGACTCTGACTTGGAATTAAAGGTACTAATGCACGGCCCCATTAAGCAAAGGTAGGAAGTATCGACATCCCGGTCGTCATCTTCGATGGACAAGAGCGACCGAAATTCGGATACGTTAGAGGAGGAAATGATACATAGATATTGTAAAGCAGTCATCTTTCTAATAAACGCAGGATTATTCAAATGGTATGATCATTACTGGTGTTAAAACCAGTCTTACTGTTGCACACTAATGCAAAAAGGATAACTTCTGAGGGAAACACTCCATGAATCGAGCGCACAAGTATCCAAAGTCCCACGCGCGAATACAGCACCCTGCGGCGGAAATGTAGACATCACATTCCATGATACAACTTTCGTGGCCGACAACAGAATTAAGCCTTGCAGGCGGAAGTAAAGAACATACCCCGGAAGACAAGCTGTATCATGGAATGCCCTAATCATGAACATATCATCGGCACTCAAATAACATTCCGCTTAACAACTACCAAAGCGACAAACTGGCCTGGACACTTGCAACAGGCATGATAGATAACGGAGAAGACAGAAAATCCAAAAACCGAACCTATCCTATTCCACCCGAAATTCATACTATAAGACCCCTTAAGAACTATAGTCTTGTGTATGACAGGATCGAAAGTTCAGGTCATTACAAAACTAACGTGAGAATTGGATATTCGGACAAGGTTTAAATTTTATACGGGGCCGTGACGAGTAGATCCAGATTCACTTTAGCCCCTCAACTCCGCGTCTGCACATGTCTTTTAATTCTATTTGATCCTCCACTTTCTAGTCAAGCGTGAAACCATGACCACTTCCGAGCAGTTGTATTAACGAAAGCACTACTCTCGTGTTCCAGAGTTGTGAAGTATAGGGTGGTTAAAAAAACTCAAACTAAAGGCAAGTTGACCCGGGAATGTTCTATTGTCCGTTAGATAACACAGAAGTACTAGATGAGACTTAAAAGATGACAGGCAGAGTAGTACACTCTGACCTATCTGGATAGGAGAATCAAGCATTGCAGTATCGGCTTTATCATTCCCGCAAAATCGTCACATGAGTTCTGGATAGTATGACCGCCTACCAAGCAAAGGGAAACGTGCCTTGTGAAAAAGCTAATGAATACTCAAAAATTATCTAACAGCGTCTAGTTCCACAAGGATAGTACTGTCAGTCTCAACATCATGCTTCTCTTTTCCAATTTCAACAACATGAGCATTTTCCACCGTCGATTCTTTCGTGAATGTGAACGTCCGGAATTCGCAGTTGTTGTAAGCAGCACCTGTCTGTTGTTAGAAAACTCGCGAAGTGGGAATGCGATATCTAGGAAGAATACCGTTCTTCAAGTTCTCAACTGCACCATCCTTAGTCAAATAATAAAAGAATGCTCCATGTGTCACTAATACGACATGTTGTGCTTCAAGCTGGTAGAGACATGCACGAAGGGTAGCAGCTCGTGCTTGGACGGCTTCATGGTTAGGTGCATAGAGGCCTTTCTGAAAATATTTAGCTTTAAATGCCGCAAGAGATATTGCTGTCTCCGAGGGTGTCTCAAAGAATTTGCAAAAATTATACACAAACCTTCGAATTCCACCCCTCCTTTATCAATTCAAAGCTAATTTTCTCCACACCAAAGCTCAATCCCTCATCTTTGAATAATTTCGGGATTGCGATATCTCTCAAGACATCCAACGGAAATCCTTTATCGCAAGGCTTGGAGCTAACTTCCTGGGCATTAGGCACAAGAAGACAAGGAACTTCTGGTCGAGCAAGTATTTCACTAAATGCAAAGAGGGTGGTTTGGATGGTACGACGATGAGGAGAGGAAAGGATCAGGTCGATTTTATTATGAAGGGAAATGTTTTGCGGAGATTTTGACATTGTGTGCGTCCTCTAGGGGTCAAGACTGGGTCTGGAATATGGAATTGACGCTGTTCTAGGTGTTAATACACAACACCAATAGTGAGGCGGATGTAACCTTACTTTAATATTGTGCTCAGCCTCAGCGTGGCGAACGAGGTAAAGTGTAGGGGACATTTTGTATGATGAGCAGAGCAATTCCCTTAGGGTTTGAGTTTTGAAAGAATACGGTAAGAAGTAACCTTAAAGTTAGAATGAATGGTGGAAATAATTACATGGCATCATGCACAAAGAACAGTTCGGAGTGTATTGTCCGAATCACAACGTATCCATTGATTGGCTGTCTTTGAACCTCTATTTTAAGTGAGAGATCATAATCCTTTATTCAACTCTGCGTTGATTCGAACGCAACTCATTCATATTGAATGTGTGTGTGCATCTCTCTGTGCATGGCCTCACAAATGTTGAGAACGAGCCCGAACTTTCTAGACCGTCGGGCAAGCTCACACTGTCGTACCTTTATTAGAAGTACTTCTCGGAAGCATTAATATATGGAAAATGCACGTGCACGCACGGACTGCTCTGTGAATCTTTCACGTGATTATGTCATCCCACCACCTCCCGGTGAGCTTAACCACAAAAAGGTGGGACGGCGCAGGATATATATGTTTCCTTGAGGGCGTTAGACAAAAAGCATCATTGTGTGAGAAATCCGATAGATTTCTATTTCAATTGATGACACATCTAGAGCAACTTGTCCATGGTCAATAACCATATGTATGCATCTACTCCGTACAAAATACGCGACAGCAACATGAGACGAAAAATGTCCGCCGGTTACCGGCAAGCACTTCTCCATCAAAATGTTCCTGATCCAGAATAAAAAGCTTGTTTCCTACTCCAGAAAATGGGTCTACTGGAGTAACAAGGGATTGAAACCACCAAATCTCCATTTTCACGACTTTTTACCTGTTTCTATGTTCCCTTTCCAAGTTAAATCGGACTTTTCTTTCCGCCCCTGTTAAATGACGTTATGCACATTTATCAAACAATTTGACATGGCTGAGCCGCATTGCTGTGTTCTTGACGCGTTCTAAGGCGATGGATGGAATTATTAGATCAGTTTGATATTTCTTATATTGTATAAATATCTTCTGATGATACCTGTCTCTCCTTACTTTCCTGTGAGATACAAAAAATATCAGTATGGGTGATTCAGACTCCGTCACCGATGGCATAATTCCCGTGTTCTTGGGAGCTCTTCAAGCTTCCTTGACAGTGTTGTTAACAATTAGCTATGGAGTTATCGCATCGAGGTACAATTTGTTAAAAGAGTCTTCTACGAGGGATATTTCGAAAACTGCTGTTAGATTATTCTTACCTGCGCTTTTGATTACCAATGTTGGCGAGGAATTGAAGCCGGATACTGCGTGGAGATATGTACCAGTTTTGAGTGAGTAATATACATCGAATTGTATAGATGGAGAGCTAATAATGTGAAAGTATGGGCATTGCTATATACACTATTATCAGTGGCAATAGGAATGTTCCTCAAAAGAGCTTTTAAATTCCCCGCCTGGTGTGTACCTGCTAGTAAGTTTCCCCTCTTCTTCCTACACCACAATTTTTGACAATTCCTAGTATGTTTCAACAACACCACTGCGCTTCCGCTTCTTTTGATTCAAGCCCTCGATACAGCCGGAATTCTAGGCAGTCTAACAATGTCCGATACCGATACCGCCTCCGCAGCTCTCAGCCGCGCAAAATCCTATTTCCTCATCTCCTCAATGGTAGGAAATAGTTTAACCTTTGCACTCGGACCCAAACTTCTAGACGACGAAGAAGCACCCGATGAACTTGATGAAGACTCAAAAGCAGACCATAACCACAGCTCAAACGGACAAAGCGAAAGCGACGAAGAATACGCCAATCCGACCAACTCCAATGGACGAACCGCAGTAGAAGAAGAAGAATACGAGAACGAGACATCAACACTTCTTCCGCGGAGTATCGCCAGAAGCAAAAGTACCGCCGCCAAAAAATCAATGGAAGAATGGAAGAAAATCCCTCTCAAAATTCGAAAAACCCTATCCACAATCTATAGTTTTATCAATGCTCCCCTGCTCGGTGCTCTGCTCGGGGCCATCCTAGGCCTCACTCCCGCTCTACACACCGCATTCTTCGCCCCACCCTCCTCAGGAGGAATCTTCAAAGCCTGGCTCACAACCTCTGTCAAAAACATCGGCGAGCTTTTCGCAGCCCTTCAACTCGTCGTCGTAGGCGCCAAACTCTCCTCCTCGCTCATCCGAATGAAAAACGGCCAATCCAGCGGCAAAGTCCCTTCGCTCGTCGTACTCACCATTTGCTTCATCAGATTTATATTATGGCCTCTAGTGAGCATCGGGGTAATCTATGTGATTGCGAGGAAAACCCAATGGTTGGATGAAGATCCCATATTGTGGTTTGTGTTGATGTTGATGCCGACGGGGCCGCCTGCGACGAAGTTAACGGCGTTGGCGGATGTGAGTGGTGCAGATGAGGAGGAGAAGATGGCGATTGCGAAGTTTATTACTGTGGCTTATGCGGTTAGTCCGTTGATTTGTTTTGCGGTGGTGGGGAGTTTAAAGGCTTGTTTGGCCGCGAAAGGGTGAGGGGGATGGGAGCGCGGGGGGGAGGAGAGGGGAAGAGAGAGGAAAAGCGGGATCGTTTGTTTTGGTGAAAACTCCAAACCAGAATATAAACGGAAAAAAATGCAATGCATAGCACAAAACGGAGTTTAGATACCTATTCAGGATGGTGAAATATCGAAGAGAAAACTATTACTAGTATGAATAGAAATAATAAAATAATGGAGATAGATAAAACAATAAAATTATCTATTCACATAAAAGTAGAAAAGTAGAAAAGACTATTTCTTACATGTAAAGTATACGTAAATGATGAAGATAAAGAAAAGAGAGAAGACAATTCACTTGCGCATCTTCTGAACACATTTCGCAGTCTAAATTGTCTTCCCAAAGTCTAATTACTCTCGATATTCCCTTCTAGACCTACGGAAATCAGGTTCACATCAAGTTAACTTGCAGCCTGTAATACGGAAAATATTTTTTGTCATGCAACAATATATTGAGTACACTGAAATACTAGGGCAAAGGATCCAGCTATCTATGGATCACTTTTTAATATAACGCCGGACTCCTACAGTGCAAACTATACACCGGCACTGTATATTTCTTCGTATTCTCACTCTCCCATTCTAATTTTAGATCATAGCCAAAATCATACTTGATCCCTTATTACCCACCTCCCTCTCCTTCGTCCCCTTTCCTTTCTTGGCAGCACCCTTCCCACTGGCTTTCTTTTCCTCCTCCTTGGCTTCAAACTCCTCTCTCTTAGCTTTTTGCTCCGCCGTCTCTTCCTTTGCCGCCTTCTCCAACTTCTTCTTGTTCTTCGTTAAAACTTTCTTAACCTCATCTTTCTTTCCGAAAGATTCAGATTCCAACAAAGCAACTACCACGAATGAACTTGAGCCAGTTGCCCATTCAACGATAAACTCCTTAATATGTGGATATAAAATATCGGCAAAGTTCAAAGCTGGAACGGTTGGAACGATAGATTTAGTAGCTGGATCGTAGCGACCACCTGCAATGAGAGATTTGATCATTTTTCCACCGAAAGGTGTGCTTGCGATGTGAGAAGGTGGTTCTTCACTAACAGCACCTTCTTCAACAGGATGTTGAATGTATGTTGGATCTCCGGATACAGCTTCAGCAAGTGATTCAAGAGCTGTCGATTTATCTCCTTCAGCGCCGAAAAGAACTTCAGTTATAAATTGACAACCGAAAGATGTGGCGATGAGTTCTCTGGATGCGGAGGCGATAGCCTTTAGGAGGTATGGGGATAAAGCCTTGATTAATTCTTGGCGACGGATTTCTGGGTCTTTCTTTGAGGTGGTGGTCCGGATTGCATCAACCTCAGAGAGAATTTCGAGATCTGAGTTATGGCTTGCTGGGAAGAGGGATTTTGAGCGACCTTGGAAAAGGTAAAGAAGTGTGGTACGTGCGTTGAGGTCATTAGCGGAAAACATGATGTTCTCAGCCTGTTTCTCTTCATCCTTGCTGAGCAACTCTGGGAAAATAGACTTCGCTGTCAAGACTGTATCATCAATGACTTCGTATGCAGCAAGAATAACAATATGTCCGTTTGGATCTCCTGCCATCAGTTGTAATGTGTCCTTGTACATCTTTAGGATATGTTTACGGTCCTTGGCACCTCCATATGCTAGAGCAAGGCAAACAACTCTTGCTCCGGACTTAGTGAATGCCAAATTCTTCATCAAATCACCTTCCTCATCGCCCTTCAACAACTCGATAAAGTCAGTGATCTCCTCAGTACCTTGTTTGGCATTGAGGAAATACTGTAACATAGCATCATGAAGGAGGGTGAAACCGTTGGTCTTCTTCTGCAAGAGATGATTGATCATTTCTTGTAGATATCGCATGATTGGTGCTCGCTTTCCAGGTTCAGCAGCCAAGATTTCCGAGAGTTCTCCAGTCAAGAACTTAGATGTGTCTCTTTCCATGACGGCAAATTCGGCACCGTACCATTCTCGAAGGATAATAGCCTTCTGTTGTTTGGTAGCTACTCCACGGTAAATATCATCGAGAATCCATCCAGCTTCAGGGTGCTTGATAAGTCGACGAACATGTCCATAGAACTCGGGAACAATAAGATCTCTAATTTCATCATCTCCTTGAACCAACAATTTTCCAATCAAGAACTTGGCGTATCTGCTCTCAGCCAATTGTCGATATGTTCCTGCAAGCTCCTTTGCGATCAAACGTTTCTGCTCCGGATTCGAATATTTGACGGCGGTCTGAACAACTCTAACACTGTCATGTTTAAGAACGAAGTCCTTGATTCTGCCCGTGATGAGCTCGAAAAGTTCCTCAACCAATTGTTTTCTCTCGTCCTTTGGAACATGCGACTTTCGGCGTAAACGTTCCCAAATTTTCTTCGTACGTGCCAATTGATCTGCTAAAGGTTTTGCTGCCTTTCTTTCGTTTGCCAATTGCCTTTGTTTCGCATGTGCCTCTTTCGATGATTGACCTGAAATACGTAAGTAGGGATACATGAAAAATTACATGAAAAGAGCTTACTGTTGGCGGCGACAGCCTTAATTCTATCTGGATGTATGCCCTCGACTTCTTTCATTTCCGTGTCACTATCCGAACCATCTGCAGAAGTAGAATCCAAAGCTGCACCTCCATCGTCAGAATCCGAATCCTCTTCACTCTCGGATTCGACCTTCTTCACAGGCTTAGCCATAGGTTTTGAATCTAATTTCTTTTTCCCCGAATCAATTTTTGCTTTTTTGTTTTCCTTTACATGAACATCTTTCGCAGGTGCCGACTTTCTCTTCATACCCGTTGCCACAGTTTTCGAAGTTGATACTGGAGCCATTTTGGTACAATTGTCGATTTTTGATTGTACGGATGGGCTAGCTCGTGGGTTTCCTTGGGAACTTTTTTTTCTGCCTTTCGACAGATAAAAGATAAACTTTTTCCAATCGGCGCTAAGCCAATCTTGGGTAGCACACATTCAACCCACCACCCACCCCACGAAGGCCTTTAGTTTAGAGGAAAAGGGTAAAGCAATTATACAAAATGGGAAGAGAAGAACAAGTTGAGGAGAGGGAGGTCCTCGATAGTATTTTCCCAGATGAGATTCATGGTATGGTATTGCGATAATTTCAGCTATTGGTTTTCCCCCCCTAACACTTTTCACAGATATATCAGAGACAGAATATCGAGTATCGATTCTACTAGATGTCACAAACGCAGATGGCGATGATTCGGAACCTCCTACTATGCTCCTGCAAGTCAAATACCCAGAAGAATATCCTGAAGAACCACCTGTTCTAGATTTACTCCCAACACCGAATGCGCCCATTCATCCATACTTCAGCGTCGCAACTGATAAACAACTTCTTCTCGATGGATTAACCGAGACAATCGAGGAGAATTTGGGGATGGCCATGGTGTTTACATTGGTGTCTACCTTGAAAGAAAATGCAGAGCAAGTTATTGCGCAAAGACAAGAAGCGAAGGAGAAAGAACATGAGGAGAAGTTGTTGGCTGTAGAGGCCGAAGAAAATAAGAAGTTCCACGGAGAGCCGGTGACGAGAGAGTCGTTCATGAAGTGGAGAGAGGCATTTCAAAAGGAGATGGAGGAGATTAAGCTTAAGGAGGAGGCGGAGGAAGAAGCGGTCGAGAAAAAGAAGAATAAAGGGAAGGATGCCGTTGTTGCACTAACTGGGAGACAACTTTGGGAGAGAGGTATGGCTGGGAAGGTTGAGGAGGATGAGGATTATGATGATGTGCCTGTCGAGGGTGTGGATAAGTTAAAGGTGGAGGCATGAATGGTATGATGAAGATTATTTCCGGTACGGAGTTGCATTGCTGGCGTTGGCTTTGGACAATCTACAGGGAGAATACCGTCCATAAAATAACTCAAGATACTAGGCTAAGTAAGGGAAATGGTAGAATAATATGTCAGATTCACAGTTCATATCGAGTACAGATACGTCAATGGTAATTACCTTAACTTTTTTCATTATCTATCGTCGCAGCAACAGTTCATTCGTTGCGCTCATCCTATACAAACGCCACGATACATTCCATTATCCTTTTAGAACCAAAACTTTTCATCCCTTGTACCTACAGTGTGTATTTTCATGATTCGGCCATTTCTTCATCATCATCATCACTGTCCTCCCAACCTTCCCCATCCACATCCCCTTCAAGTTCGGCTTCGGCGTTGGCTGCTTCCTCTCCTAATTCAGTATTTAAAATGGAAATAAGCTCCTTAGCGTGCGCGCCAAGGCGTTCATCTTCATAATCTTGTTGCTCAAAAAGTCGAAGACAATGATTTAGCCACTGTTGACTTGAAATCCAAGAGACCTTCCAACTTTCCCCATCGCCATTGCTCTCTTGCTGTGCGTTCTCCCCATTCTTTTGTTTCTCTCCCATAATGTATAATCCCCAACCACCCAAGTACCAAACTTCAACACTAGTATCATCCTCTCCCACTAGACGTTCCAGAACTTCAATGGCTTCTATATCCATATCCGCCTCCATCAATAATCTTGCTAGACTAACTTTCGTAGGGAAATCCGGGACGACGTCATTCTCAGGAGGTAAATCTTTCCACAGATCTAAACTCCTCTTCAGAGCCGCTTGCGCATCTTCCATCCTAGTCTGTGATATCCTAACATTTGCCAATGTCTGCCATGGCTCAGGATAATTCGGTGCGACCATCGTAGCTTCTGTGACCAACGCCTCGCATTTCTGTTCCGCATCCTCTTCCCATGATAAGTCCGTCATGTAAACCTCTACAACACCACAAAGTGCCACTGCCAACTTCCTCCTCTTCTCCTCCAAAATAGCAAGTCCTGCATCATCTAACTTATTCTTCTCCACCTTCTCCAATAAAGCTCCAATCTGTACTTTTAAACTAACAGCTCCCTTCTCATACCATCCAACACTATCCTCTCCACCGTCCTCACTCAGCTGTGCCAACCATAAGAATTTCTCCGCTCCACCTCCAAGTTCTTCACTAACTTCTCCATCCTCATCTATTCCGGCGGCTTGCATAAAATATTGTCTCGCTGAATCGACATCTCCCAATTCCACATGAACTTCTCCTAATAAATTTAATGCAGGGAGTGCCTCAATTGCCTGTACATCCACCAATGCCAATGCCTTTTTCGCAAATGGAACCGCGCCTTCAATATCGCCTTCTTGCAAATATTTCGTTGCTTTTAGCAATAAATCCATTGGATTTGCGGGCGGTGAAGAGGCTTTTGTAGATTTTGCGGAGCTGCGATTGACGGCAGCTTTTTCGCGTTTGTTGTCTTTCTTATTTCGTGGTTTGGTCTTCGCCATTTGAAGGTTTGGAAAGTGTTGATTAAAGGTTGTAAGGTTGAGAAGGTGATTGATTGATGTAGGGGAAAAGTTCTGGAAATGGCAGAATAACTTTTTTTCACTTCTGACGATAAGCTAGTTGATAACGCTAATCCTCGAGCGTGCCCCGCCAAATTCCATCATAGGTACTCCATAATGAATTTAGGACATTTAGCTAACCAAGCAGCTAATTTCAAGAACTTCTTTTCGAGTCATGATTCTATTACACTGACTTCCTCTCCCTATCTATTTCTTCCATTTATATTCTCAATTGATACATGAGTCAGATCCGTACTATTTATTAGCCATAGGTACTAGAAAGCCATGGTCTTTTAGTTCCGACAGTTACACTCGTCCGAATGAATTTCATGTGCCATTACATTTTTACATTATTATTATACCAGCAACTTTGCGGCATCTGGAATTGATGTATGACCCCCGCCATAATATTTCTATGACCGGTTCCCAAGCGATTGTAGGTACCAGTACAACATGGTACAAAGATTTGTCCCGAACGCCCATGAATTTCAAATTTTCCTGAAAGTTTATAAACCTCATCATATGCCTTAGCGAACCTCATCAACCTCGACATTTGGAGTCGTACTGCCTGGTTTTGGAAAGTTACCAAGCTCTTCTCCTGTACCACTCTGACCACGCTTCCTCCCTGGCATATGAAACGATGGAAGTGCTTCATCACCAAATTTCGAGAAGAAACCCTTCTTCTTAATCTGCTTTGTGGAGTCATTGGCGGCATCATTTAGCCCCACCTCTTCGAATCCTTCTTCGGCCGTGGGTGGCTGTCTGTCGAATCGTCTATTACCAATGGCAGATCTTTGCATTTGAGGCAGTCTTGCAGAATCAAGACTTTGTCGTCCACCATATCCATCGATGGGACTTATAGGTGATCTAGCTGAGATATCCTTTTCAAAGTCAGAAGAGTTTCTCGGACAGCGATTTAGTGATGTATAAACTTACAAATGATCTTCTATATGAATCGAAAGATTCTCTGGAGATCGGAAAAGGATCAATCTCATCATTTGAAGTCGTTCGGGTATTGATTGAAGTTACGGAAAGATTGCCCTTGCTGCGAGGCCAGAAACTCTTTTTTTCTGGTGGAGAAGGCTTTTGGATTGGTCAGTCAAATTGGCACATGTATGTTGAGCTTGCCAACACTTACAGGTAGATACACGCCGCTATCGTTCACAACTATACAATTATTCCTGTCAGTAAGGGTTTCCCGTAAAACCCGGTCATCTAAACAAAAGTATCATACCACTCATTTTATACTCCGGGGGCTCTTCACTCTTCGCCGTTTTGATACTCATCGAAGATGCTCGAGAAGCGACTGTAGAGACTCTCTCAAAAGAAGGAAGGGGGGCATTCTGATCTTGGGACGGCTGTAAGCCCGTCTGAACGTCCTGTTTCCTCGCAAATGGATTTCGAATAATCGGCATATTGGATAAGGTATGGTGTATTAAATAGCAAAAGTTAAGCGATTACGTGATATGAATCAATTGTCTTTCGAACTTCTAAGGCTTCAAAACAAAATATACTGAGGATATTGGAACTTTTCGAGAACTGAACTTCAAGTCTTGACGTCTTTTCGTTGCAAGAATTGGATGATTGGTCGTTTATTTGGAATGATTTTCCTAAGCCACTCGGACTCTCAACTCCCCGTTTTCTAGGCTGATCACGGGAGAGGGTCCATGATATGTATTGATTTCTAGCTGGCCGAACCGAGGTCGATCATGCCAAGGCATTGTCAATAGTCTGGAAGAATGCCCCACCAAATACTTTTGATGAAGAGATGGTTGGGTGGTAGATAGATGTGGGTAGTTGGATTTATTTGGAGATTTCTAACACAATACCAACGAACGACAGCATGTCATTTGAAGTACAAGGGAAGTAAGTTCCTACTCTGGGTCTTATCCAATTCTCCGGACGAGTAACTAAAACTGTATGACGTATTCCAGCTTTTCAGGGACCATAATGTTGGAGGATTTCTTGTGAGAGGTGAGGTTACAACACAAGTAGATATCTATCTACCTATTGTAAATTTCTGATGCGGTTGTCCTACCTTTGATGTAATTTCCAAGTCCACCAGGTCTTGATAGCTGAAAATAACTGCCGGAAAATAGACGAATTTTTAATATGCAGTCGAAATGCTTTTGATAGCTGAATGGTTAGGGACAGGTACTGCATTGATAACGACATTTTCCTCAAATAATTTGGATGAATTGTAGCCAATACGATGGTGAAGGGGTTGAGGGAAACAATGCCTTGGGAGCAAGACCTTGAGTATTATGATTTGTTCCGACTTCCTTTCCTTCTTGGTCTTATATTCTGAAGGCTTGATCAGATGTTTCAAGGTGGTCAGAACACAGTTTAAGACTTCTTAGTCTCCATAGTTTCGAATCCTTCCCGAGCCGCCGCTAATCGAAAGGAATTATCCTTCCGTATTCTGATTTTGTTAAGAAGATCTTACCAGTTCTCATTCTTTGACGTGGCATGAATACCAGTACCTTCGTTTTCATGATACATTTCGAGGCATATACTCCGTATTGATCTCTTAAGCATACTCGGTAACCGGTTGAGAATGTCAGCCAACTTTTTGAATCAAGAAAGTTCAACTATGGGTACGAACGAACATGCAAGATCTTTTCGAAGAAAGGGGATAACCTTGTGCTTTTAAGCTTATCACCCCTCTCTCAAAATTCTTCCATGTTGCTCCCACCGATGGTGTGGTGATCACCACTATGTAGCTATATTCAGAGCGGATCATACTGAGAACCCTTGCAGGAAAATTCTTGACTTTCTTGTGTCACTTGACAGCCGAAGCAAGTTGGCCGAAAATCATCTAAATTAAGTGATGTGGCCAAGGAGCCAACGACAGGCTCTGATTGATGAACTTCTGGTCTACCTGCATGGCATGCATCTGGTAAGAAGAAGCAAACGGATATCTCAGCCAATTCGATCTCGCCGATGCTATGCACGTTTTCGTATGCATGGCGTTATCCCAACCTATAAATAAAAATTTCCTTTTTTGTTTGAGAAAAAGCTCCAGACACCAAGACCTGCAGGCACAGACATGGTTTTGAGATACGACACTCAATGTGATGATGGTATTCATGTATTCAGACTTGTTGGACCTCGTATCTGTATATCAAGTTCCATTCCCCCATACCATACCATCGATCCCCAGGCTCCGGTACTTTTCTTCCAAAAGTTGGAAAAAGTCTTCTGATCCACTTCCCGAGAACCAAGGGTTTTCTCGTTTTCTCATTCGTTTTCGTAGACATTAGTTAAAGACTTGAAGTAGATACTTGGATCCTTTTCTGGTATTTGGAGTTGTACTGCTTTTCGAGGGTCCTTCGGAATAATTTCTACCATACAAAAAGATGCTGGGTACGCATGCATGACTGTCGCACCGCAAATCTCCGAATATTTATATTGGAGAATACCACGTTCATACGAAATCCCAAAAGCGTGGTACAATCTGCAGGTTTCCGAAGAGCCAACACACAAGGAATGAATGATATGTCGGAAGCTTTTTTTGGTGTTCTAGTGTTCTTCTCCTAAGTCTGAGAGAAGAGAACATTCACTTTTTCAACTGACCTTCCTAAAACGAACATCATCTTTTCTGAGTTACATCAACCACACCACATGCAAATAATTTATTTTGATCAATGTCTGACACACACCTGATTCTGAAGACATACACTTCGTTCATCAAACATCCTTCTTATCGACCGCAGATTTTCTAAGCCTCTTGATTGAGTAGCATCAGCCATACATACCACGTTCGTTTCCATTGCAAACATTGAATACTAAAGAGAGGCTTAGCAACGACAGCAAGTATTTTCAGATTTATAGTCGAAGTCATCAACTTTGAAATATCAAGGAAAGCTTGACACGAAAAAAGATTTGAGAGTAGGCACCTGTTACCTTCAACTAAGGCTTTACTTTGAGAGTTCTACGACTGAGCAAGTTTATTCTTGGATGGAAACTACTCTTTCCTAGAAAGTCCACATCTTGTGGGAGAGCGACTTCCAAATTTGGTGTTAGGAAATTCGCGAACATAAAAAATCTTTTCCTCACCTTCATTTCTCTCAATAAAAAGATTATTGCAATATCTGCCTTCTACACAGCCTTTTCAGAGTCTGAAGGGATTACCTCCTTGTTACATGCAGACTTGTGATTTGTATCAACTTCGACAAGAGGGATTTCCAAACACAATATACGATTACTCTACCAAAATTCACATACAATTAAAAATCAATTTCAACATGGCGATATCATTCTTCAACTCCTGGCAGCTGTGGGAAAAGATGACATTTGTAAGTTTCCTTTTGCAAACGTTTGTAATAAGCCAGCTAATTCATGTCAGGTTTTGGGATGCGCCATTGTAGCAGTTTTTTGCGTGGGATACATCAAATTGTTATGGACAAACAGAATAGTTGCAAGACAGGAGATTTTAGACGAGGAAAAGCGTATCAAGATCCAAGAATTGCGGCAAAGTGGACAGTTTGTCGAGACAAGCAAAGATTCTGATGTCCCCTTTGGCGTTCGCGCCATTCAAAGTGGTATTCAAGTGGATGGAATCTGGATTTCTGGAACAAATACTCCTGTTCCCAGCATCAAACTCCATCGTCATTCATCCTACGAGCCTTCTACTCCAGATTCGACCTCTAACGCACACGCATCTCCCGATGGTTACAATCATCCGACGCCACCCAAGAATGGCCAACCAAACTTCCGATGTAGCGAATCTGCGATACTTCCGAGCCACAGAAGTGTGAGTGACGATGATACTATTGCCTCGGATCCTCGTAGCTCTTCTCGGCAACGAGCAACCTACAAGCCTACAAGATCGTCACAACTACGTTTTGGAACAGTCGGAGAACATCAATATGATGAGGAGACACTTGAGCATCTCGAAGGTAATGCAGAAACTGGTAGAGTTTATACTCATAGACCTCGTGGAGCTCGCCAATCCGATGAATCAATTTCTGATGCTGCTGCCGCTGCTGATAACGAGCGCTCATCCGGAACTTCTGATGAGTCTGATGAAACATTTTCTCGTGTTAAACACCCGCAACCTAACCGCCCGTTCAATTATCCTACTCGAACTCCGTCTCCAGAAGTTTTGACGCCAGCATTCCCTTCATTCTCTCATCAGCCAACCACCAAAGGCAAGGGTCAATATTCATCAATTCCTCTTTTTCCTGAGGATGAGGAATCCAATCCATTTTCATCGGGTCATATAAGCACATATGGCTCCAACCGTCAACCAGTTGAAGATCAACGATATACTGATAATAACATCGAGTCCCGAGCTCCTCTTTTGAAAACTCGCTCTCCATCTTCTCAATTCATACCTGGAGAACTCCATCAAAATAAGTTGGTCAGGAAGGTCAATTCTGGTTTTGAGATTTTACCAGCAGGCACATTTGGTACTCAACCAACCCTGGATTTGAAGGGAAAAGCTGTTAATCGCCATGAGGGTTGGAATGTCAATAACTTAGACCATGTTGCACCACTACATCCAAACAAATTACAGAAAAAGACGAGATTTTCGATGATTTCGCTGCCGTCCAGAAGAACGATGGGTTAGTGTAGTGGACAGAGTATGGCGATACTAGTTGGTAGTCCTTGATGAATGAATGATAGATTACGCACGGAGTAAATGGTGGACAATGCAATCGAAGCATCGACGGCGTTACATATTATGGAGATGGTGTTGCATCAAATTTGACTGGTCAGTAACAGAGCCATTTTCAATATTTCATGCCTAACTAAGGAACGTTGGTATGATAAGGGTGGAGATAAATTTGCTTCGGGGAAAGGAGAACTTGGAAAGAAAAAAATAATCATATTGCTTAGGTCGTCTAGCTTAATGAGTAACGAGAGATGTACAATAAGAAATGAGAATTACATGCTCAAGATTCATTTCATCAACGTTGGGGACCCTATGTATATTTTAGTTTAGTTTGTCCGTGAAGCTTCAAATTCGGATTTTCTCCATATATTCAAAGATTAGTACCGGTTGTATATCTGAAAGGCAGTCAGCAATGTTCAAATTGTGCCCTACTATGAAAGTTGGTTGTGATTGTAAATTAGGATTTGATAGTTTGTAGGTCATTGGATTGTTTGCGGAGACGGGGATGGGGGTGGGAGTCAGTACCAGCCGAATGTAGAATCATGTGACTTGGCGATAGCCTAATCTTCCGGTGCACGTCAACAACGCGTCCATTCCTTCCGCGACTTTAAATCTTCACATTTCAATGACATAGGAACGTACTTATTTAATTTCTCATCCCACACGTTACTACGGACAATTCAACGAAAGATATTCACTAAAATTCGAATCTCTCGCTCATAAAATATGACTTCAGAAGAAATTGAACCTTCTCAGTCTGGTGATGATGGAGGAATGGGAGGTCCTGGTGCTCCAACGCCACTCTCTGCTTTAGAGGTAATATGGCGTTTCTCTTTTTCTCGCAATGTTTCTACTTACCTAACAATTAGATCAGGGAGTTGCGGGTCTTACTAAGAGAGATATTCAAATGATTGTGGATGGTGGATATAACACTGTAGAGTCTGTCGCATACACGCCGCGGCGAATTCTGGAACAAATTAAGGGTATCTCTGAGCAAAAGGCCACAAAGATTCTGACAGAAGGTTTGTAGTTATAAACAGTTAGTCTCATAATGATGCTAATTCTTTAATAGCATCGAAATTGGTTCCCATGGGTTTCACAACTGCCACTGAAATGCATCAACGAAGAAGCGAACTGATATCTATCACAACCGGTTCTAAGCAATTGGATACACTTCTAGCAGGAGGAGTTGAAACAGGATCTGTCACGGAAATATTTGGAGAGTTTCGTACTGGGAAAAGTCAAATCTGTCACACTTTAGCAGTTACTTGTCAATTGCCATTCGACATGGGTGGCGGAGAAGGTAAATGTCTATATATTGACACCGAAGGAACATTTCGTCCTGTACGTTTACTTGCGGTGGCCAATCGATATGGCCTTTCTGGGGAAGAAGTTCTCGATAATGTTGCATATGCAAGGGCCTACAATTCCGATCATCAGCTGCAACTTCTCAATCAGGCAGCACAAATGATGTGCGAAACCAGATTCTCCCTACTCATTGTCGACAGTGCAACCGCGCTTTATCGTACAGATTTTACAGGGAGAGGTGAGCTGTCTTCCAGGCAAATGCATTTAGCAAAGTTTATGCGCATGCTTCAACGTCTAGCCGATGAGTTTGGTATTGCTGTGGTTATCACAAATCAAGTCGTTGCGCAAGTTGATGGAGGACCAAGTGCAATGTTCAATCCTGATCCTAAGAAACCTATCGGAGGTAACATCATTGCACACGCGAGTACAACCAGATTGAGCCTCAAAAAGGGTCGTGGAGAGACTAGAATTTGCAAGATCTACGACAGCCCTTGTTTACCAGAAAGCGATTGTCTTTTCGCTATCAATGAAGATGGTATTGGAGATCCAAGTCCAAAGGATCTCGAGAAGGATTAGATAAGTTTGTTGCTGGGATATCTATATATCATGATTTCATGGGATTCTAATGGTTTATGTGTATTTTTTGCTCTTTAGCTGGCATGGTAGCGGTCGTGAGTGGCATTGGAGCTCTGGTGGTGGGAGCGAATCTATCATTTCCATCATTTGCGAAACTTTTATGAATATCATAGACTTAGTTGTATTTAGTTAAATTAGGTAGTAGCACATATCAATTCATACTGTCGATGCATACACAAACATGCATAAAGGTGAAATGACTGTAGTAAATGTAAAAGGGCGCTAGCGGCCGCCTAAAAAGCTGAAGCTCGCGATTTCTATGCGTTTTACCGCGTCAAAACAAACCAAAAATGCGACAACCTCTTAACACTCACCAAGACTCTCCATGAGACCAGCGATTGATGGGGATAAAATGGCGGATAAAGGACATTTCTATTCCTACAAGGAGATACGATTAAACCTCGATTCGCCCATTCAAAATTCTACCATTGTGATTCGTTTACCTGCACATGGAACTCCAGCCTCAAGAATAGCACAAAATCGACCTCATATTACGGAAATACCAATTGCGGAGGATGAAAAAACTTTCAAGCAAAAGTACTTAGCTACTGCCGGTTCAATTTATCACCGCACACAAGACGTCTTTCCCCGAAGCTACTTATGGAGGGTATTGGAAGATGGAAAGGTGTTGTCAGTACAGGCGATCGATGTATCGAGACAACAAAACACGGCAGACGCACATCTCACCTTGAGGTTACAATTCCCGAGTGCCATTAAACCTGGTTGTGTTGCTTTCGTAGATTGTAAGGAACATGACTATGTCAGCGCATTTATGTTGACCGAAACACATCACCTTTATAGCTTGAGACTTTGGCCGGACTTCTTTCGCAACCCTTCGAGCACGGAGAATAATGTTGGAAACTGGTGCAAGTCATATATATCTTCGGTCTTCAGCTTCAAAAAGCCTCATAGGATGGTTGCGCTAAGTGCCAATGAGTTGTTGATCTCTAATTTTGATGGAGGGCTTTTGAAGTTGGAGAGAAAATCGGGTGGAGATGGTATGTTGAAGCTCCACTATAGAAACTCTACGGTTAGCTAACCCTTAAAATAGGTTCCGAGTGGAAAGAAATTCATTATAATCCAGGTGGATGGAGAGATGGACTAAAGAGTTTAATACCTTTCCAAGGGACCAATACTATTCGATTTGGAGATGCTAATGTCGAATTATCCACGGTTACTTCTATATCTTCACCATCAACCAGCATCGATGGTCAGTCATATGCGTTTACTGTGTCTCTCGATCATAATCTTCGAATTTGGAATTTATTTACTGGAAGAATTGCATATGTCGGTGATATCCTTGGCCAGGGAACAGATAATAAGAACCCTAGAAAGTCAGTCATCGACCCATCATATTCACAACTGGTTAAGGTATATGGCCACAATGACGAAAGCGCTCTATGTGTCACATACTCTCCAATTGGTGAAGGGCAATTTAAATTCTGGAATGTTACTCCAGCCGCGGAGGTTGGAAATTTGGTCGTATCAGACTCTTTTCCTAATAATACATTAGTGCCTCAAGCGCCCACTTCAGACCTATGGACCATGGCGGATTTCTCTGTCGTTCCGGATAGAACAAGAAATTCCTTGACTTTGTGGACCTTGTGGAAAAACAACACAACTTATCGAGTACAAAAACTTTATTTTGGGAATGATTCTGAAGAAAGGATTGAGCAATTGTGGGATGAAGGCTGGGAAGCTACGGTGAGCGAAAGTTTGGCTCAAACACCCTTACCCACCGTCTATTCTGGAGATGCCTCGGACTCAACAGACAAGTGGTTAGCATACATACTATATCCAGGTAAATTCACCCACGCGACCATAGAGACCGGATTGGCCATCTACGAAAGAGGTCTAAGAACATCGAGGGATACATCACGCAGATCCGCACCATTACCTGAGCGGATATGTTCCAGTATTGCGATTACCGCCACATTGAATCGAGCATCGGATGGAGGTGTTGATTTTGAACAATTTCGCCTTGCCACTGATGCACAATGGAGACGATTTTTTCGACTGCTTATTGAGTTAGACAGACAAAGAGGTGAAGCCCTATCTTTAACCATTGACCCTATGGGAGAGATGCCTTGGATTGTCTCAGCCGATGGATTATCAGCAGTCCGAGATTGTAGTGGTTTAGAAAGAATATGGCACAACCCTGAACAGACTCCTGCTAGCATGGAATATGTATCTACTCTTCTTACTGCTGGATCCCTGTTTGGTGAGGCAGTCCCAGATGTTCTATATCATGGCTTCCGCTCCGCCATATTAGGTCAGCTTTACCAAGAGCCAACTTTGCTTCCAGCAGCTAGAATGAAGATGCTTTACGATGGTTGTGATTACTCGAATCAAATCGGTGATGAAGAGTATCATCAGCTAGTGACAAATTTGGGAGGTACATTCCAGGATGTCAATCCCCACGTATATGAAGCTCTTCTTGAATTCATGATCACATCTATTGGAAGCGAGTTGAGACATCCATTACCCTTGGCCAACACTGGCAATAGGCTTATTGTTAAGGGTGTTCAAGAGACTATTGAGCTACATCGAAGCATTTGTCTTGATCAGCTCCTTTTGTTAATTCTCATTGAGGTTGAAATTAATCACGGGGAGGAGGGAATTCAATTTGAAACCAGCGCAGTTTTCAATCAGCTTCTGATTATGCTCAAGAGACTTGAACTTGTTTCTTGGTTGGCTAAAACTCAAATTGACTTACCTCTTACAACTCGTGAACGCTCAAATTCCTTGAATGAATCAACATCAAGTGTGTCGAAGAAGTCAATAACTTATGAGACTGTCACAGCCCTAGAAGGTGTTCATAGACATTTATTCGGCTTAGAGCGAGGAGTATCGATGTCTACAGCCTTGACAGACTTCATTATAGAACTATGCAAGCCGGATAGTAGATACGAATCCCCACCCGCTATTATTCAATGTTTCTTATTGAAGCAAAATCACTCTGATCTGGCCATGGAATTTTCTCGCTTCACTGAACACGGTTCATTCTCCACATATATTCAAGGAAGAGCGTGTCTGGCTGCTAATGATCCTCGCACAGCAGCATTGCACTTCAAAAAAGCTGCTTTTGGAATGGGTAAGTTATCCTAGCAATTTACTATCAAGAGGTCTTTAAGTTAACTTATTTTCCTCTTAGCATATCCAGATCACAAACACGCAAACACACACAGTGCAGGTCTTCTAGACGAAACGGAAAAGAATCTTCTGAATGTAGGTCTTCCAGAATATTATTCTCATATCGTCTCTTTATATGACAACGAAAAAATGCACTCCTTCGTCATCGATTTCTCCCGTCTAGCTCTCCAATTCATTAGACCTGGTCAACACGATCCTCAACTTAGCGCCGAAATGCACAGTCGCCTCTTTCACGCTGCTCTCCAAACCTTCCGCTACGAACTCGCTTACTCAACCCTATGTCTCTTTACAAATACCGCCCTCCAAACTTCCTCACTTAGATTACTCATTACCAAAATGTGTGAATCATCCCACGCAACCCAACTTATTTCTTTCCCTTTCCTCGGACTTCAAGACCTTGTCGATGAAATACTTGCACAGAAATGCTCGAATATCATTGAAGTCACAAATGGTGTCCCATATCATAAAATCCTTTACGCGTGGCGCATTCAACATTCCGATTTCCGTGGCGCAGCAGCTATTTCTCTGGAAAGATTACACCGTCTTCAAGCATCTTCCGAAAGCGATAGTAAAATAGGAAGTAGAGAATTCGGTCAAGAGGGAGAAACATTGGTTACGAAACAATACGTGGCGGTTATTAATGCATTGAGTTGTGTGGATCCAAAACATGCGTGGATTTTATGTGAAGGGGTTAGAGGTAAAGATGCAGGAAATGGGGGAAGAGGGACTGGAAGGGGAGTTTCGAAAGGAGGAAAAGATGATAGTAGTGCGGGTGTGAAGAGAAGAGTAGTTACCTTGGCGGATGTTAGGAGAGGGTATCAGGAAGAACTGGATCGCGTGGCCGCAATTGAAAATGGAAGGTTTAGTTTAGGTGGTGGGGACGGTGTTGGAGGTGCTGATATGATGGAGATGTGAATCTGAAGCAGGAGATAATTCATCAAGAAGAAGAGAAGAAGCATGGAAACGAAAAGATGTAATGTATGCGAGAGCGAGCGAGCGAATGACAGACAAACAAGGTAATGGGCGTAAATTATCGGTTGGTTTTCATTGATTGATTGATTTGGCAGGTATGCTCGATGGATGGACGGATGAATGGATCATGAGATCTTTAAAGAAAAAGAAAGATATGGTTTGGTATCTTCTTAGGCAATGTTGTAAGGATAGAAATTATATATTTTTTATGGAATCATACAAATTACATGGATGATTGATTGATGGGTGGATGGGTGGATGGATGTGTGGGATATTTATTTCCTTCATTTATAAGTCAGTCAATAGACACAATATGTAAAAGGCATGAAGCAGAATTTTGAACTACATTAGTTGTTTCAATGCAGGTGGAGGCGCAGGTGCAAAAGTGAGTCTTCATTGAAATATTTTTATTCATAATATGTATACGCGATATCCCAATCTCTCAGCATTTTCACCCTTACTCCTAAAAGTAAAAGTTACCGCAAGCAAGGAAGGAAGAGACCTGCCATATCAACTATCTATCAGAGTCTTCCGGAGACTCATATTGTACATTCATGAAAAATGCCACCCTGTGAAACTTTTCCTTGGCCTTTAAGTATCTCCTCATATCTTAATATTTTTATTGGACTTGTTATTCTCCCCAATGATCAGATCGATTCATGCATTCATTTCAGCCCATTATCTAAAACCTATAAGTACGCACGCAAAAGGAAAACTAAGAAAGAAGAAAGGAAAATAGGATGTTGGTATCAACGTATTAGAAACGAAAGAAATTAGTCAAAATTGCAGGAGATGCGATTATTTAAGCAGAGATTCGTTTCTGAGCTGCAGGACTAGGAGCTGAATGTGCACCAGCAATCTTAGTCTGTTGGCCGAGGGCTAAAGCATCTTCTGGTTGTTGACGGTAAAGAACGATTTCAGATTGCTTGAAATAACGTCGGGCATCTATGTGGTTGTCAGTTAGGTTTGGAAGAAGGGTTAAGAGAAAGGACTTACCCTCATCAATGAGAACTAAACTCAAATAGTAACGGGTAGAGTATTTCTTGTTGACTTCGCGGAAAGTAGGAGTCAAATCAAAGCCGCCTAGGAAAAGTCTAATAGGGATAGTCTCTCCTCTTGATGGTGAACCATCCATGATCTCAAATCGTACCAAAGTTTCGCTTTCATTATACTGGTTGGGTGGTGTTCCAGTGGTTTCCCTTCGAATAATAGACAATTCCATATGTTTAATCTTGAGACGAACCAGCAAGAAATAAATGCGGCCAACGATAACATCTTTGAGGTGGTATTTTGATTTCGAGTATTCAAATTCGATATGCAAACAATCCTCAATACCGACATCCATTTTGATGGAACTGTTCATCTCTGGAGGAATTCTGTAAGAGAAAACCCAAAGATCCTTCTCGCGGATAACGTCTGCCATTCGTCTAGATACTGTGACCTTAATAAAATAACGCAACTTGACATTAATACCATTGTAAGATTCGTATTGTTTTTCGACATTTTTGAAGTTGAAGTCGTAAGCCTGTGGGTGTTGTAAGTCGCCAGGGGCAGCGAGCTCTTGTCCTAATGACAAAAACTCATAGTGATTTCCTCGATCGTAGAACATCTCTGAGGTCTAAGGTTAGTAAATTGAAACTAATATGTTGATCAAATCTCCAAAATATGTGACTTACCAATCATTCCGATAAATTGCACTTTAATACCTGTGTGCTCTAACCTTTTTCCATCCTTAGGTCTAATGGTGACAGCTCCTCTAACCGATTCACCGTCTTTGTAAAGTGGTACCCTTTCCTTGCTACTCTTACTCTTAACCTCTACTGTTTCCCGACTATCTCCATCTTCCAGAACGATATCAATATCGACTGGTGCAGAAAATAAGAAAGACATCTCGATTATTATTGAATGCAGTTGACCGGGAAATCTTCAGGATCGGGATTAAAAGTTGTTGCTCTTGCGGTGTTCAAGATCGGCTAGGTAGAGGAACCTGGCTTGTAGATTGTAACGGCACAGAATTCAATTTCGGGTGTGATGCTTGGCTGTCGAACAATCGAGTAAGAACTCAGTTGTTTGAAAATCAATGATGCAGGGCTTGATGAATTCTAGACTCTCAAGATTCACTTGGTTGAGCGATTACAGTTATGAATCTAGAGATGTTGAATAATGGCGTAAAATCGAGCAGTTCCTAAATCGTTGATGTTGGAGATATTCTCGTGTTGTGATTGCTTTTGTCGGTTTTCGGCGAGCTCGTCGACAAGAATTCTCTTTGCTGGAAGGATACGGGATCTCTGCTTTCCTATTGTCTATTTCATCAATTGCGACTCCGTTGAACTGTAATCTGCGCGCCAAATTCGAGATATTCGGTACAACCCGGTGCGGATTGAGGAACTGTCGAGGGGAAGCTTGCGAAAGGTGTTACCTCACAATCTACCCTAGCACAAGTGCAGAATATGATGACAGTGCTTAGAACTTGTAAAATCAGAACTGATTTCGTTCAAAGGGATGGAAAGTTCTGGTGAAGCTTTCTTATTTTTAAGGATTGAGGAGTGCTTTTGAGGATCCATGGCTTGAGTATGATGAAGCTCCAATGTTGGTCCGAGTGTCTCGGAATATTGTTTCGCCGTTGTATGCTAACTTGGTATCTTTCATCTATTTACATCTTGGGTTTGTGGTTGAAGGTGTGAAATATTGGAGTTTCTCAAAACAATAAACAGCTTTATATGTCCAAGTTCTAGACGAAGCCATTCCCTAATTCACATTTAAAAAAAGTGAGCTGTTTATCTAAGCCACATTTCCCGTGCAGCCGCATCTACGATATCAATCCTCAAAGCAGAGTTGCGACTGCAGGTCCAGCTCACGCTCCAGCTCCAAAATGTCACTCTCTAGCTATGTAAACAGTGAGTTTGCCCTTCTTCGATTCCTCCTATTGCCTTTTACCTTTTTATTCTATTCTTTTCCGTTACTTTCACAATCGGCGCAAACTATGAAAGCAAGCAAAACTTACAACCGCATCCTAACAGCTCCTTAGAGAAAGTTCTAATCTTAACTGCGGATTCGAGAACATTGGTTGGTACGCTCTTAAGTTGTGATCAGCAGACTAATCTGGTATTTAATCTCTTTCTTTCCCCGTTTCTTCATTCTCCAATTTTTTTTGGTATCCCCTCACTCCACTTCCTCTCGCCATCTCCCATCTTCCCTCCACCATCTAACAAACCTAGGTCCTATCCCAAACCATTGAGCGCATAATTAGACCTCCAGAAGACCCTGAAGCATCGAGTGAAGTACCACACGGCCTTTATCTAATCCGCGGTGACAATGTGGTTGTAGTCGGGCTTGTGGATGAGGAGCTGGATGATAGTATTAATTGGGTGGAGGTCAGGGGTGCGGTTATCGGTGGGACGAAACATTCATGATTGAATGTTCATGATTGAGGATCTATGATTTGGGGCATGTTTGGTATGCAGGGGATAGAAAGCGAGTACATGAAAGAAGGTAGGGCAGGATCGGAGAAAGAAGAGGATGGGAGAAATCAGGGGGAAGATACCAAAATTTGGCATTTAAAAAAGCCTGAATAAGCGCGTATGCCAGATGGAAGGAAGGAAGGATACTTATGCTGCATTAATTGGCGTTGGATGGATTAATATTAGAAGGGATCTTTATATCCATCTTCTCGAGTTTGTGTTGGCTAGGAACATAGCTGAAGCGATTCCCATATCAAGAAAAATTTACAAGATTTCAAGGTTATATCATGAAATAAGTGAATACAAACTAGAAAGCATGTCAATATGGTCTTTAAAACAGCTCAAACTCTATTTTCCAAAACTAAACTTCTAGGTACAATGAATCATCTTAAATCCAACGTGATGATATGTGCTGTAATCCAAAACCAGTAGGTATCCAATCCATTAAGTCTATCCAAAAACTCTTTCCAAAAGATAGGGTCCAAAAGCTGCTTCTCCAGGAGTACCAACAATTCTGTTGACTCTATTACCCTTATGAACACTAAGCCAACCACCGTTATCTCCAGGCTCGTCAGCTGTGATATCAATCTCGTTGGTAACATGAAGGACGGCAGTAGTGTTTTCCATTGGATCTCTAATATCCACAGCTCCAGGGCTCTTGACTTGTTCAACTCCTCCCTTCTTTCTCATTCGTCTATCAACGACATGCATACCTCTAGTCCATTGACCTGACGTCTCAACTCGTATGTCTTCAGGCCCTCTTGGGAAAGTCATCCAAGCAGGAGATGAACGTGATAGCATGTACCAGATACAAAGAGGATCATGCAACTCAAGACCAGGATTGCTTGATGCATTTCTGCCAAGAGAGTTCATTTTCTCGTAAGTCTTGTGAACAAATACAGATGTCCACTCCGCTAGAGGACTTCCAGCTTTGATTAGAGGTCTTAGTTTTGCTTGAAAGTCTGATTGATACAACTGGTGTGGAGTTGTGATATCAAGAGGGAATAATGTTAAATTGAGTTGCCTTGAAAGGTTCTTAGGATATGGTGGAAGACTTGACTTGTTCAAAGGTACAGGAGGCATGGTGGTGATTGGATTTGGAGATGTAAGAGCGAATACTCTGGCTGTTGCGACCGCATCAGCGTAAGTGTTGAATTCAGCGACAGGTGTGATATTGCCCTCCACATCGATGGCACCACCCATTACCACAACCTCCTTAACTTTCAAAAATGTTTCCGGGTCTTCTGCGGCAGCCAAAGCAATATTGGTCAAGGGTCCAACACAAACAATTGTAATCGTATCTTTAGGGTTTTCTCGAAGTAAGCGAAGCATTTCCTTATGGGCAGGGGCTTGTGAAGCTGTGAATGATGGGGATGGAGAAGCGAGTAAGTGGGCTTCAGCAACTTCTTCAGCGGTAGCATTTGCGGCGGGAGGTTGAAAGAGGGTCTTCCATGTATCTGCGGGGGAAAGATGTGGATGCTATGAGGGTATATGTCAGTTGAAAGACGGGAAGTAAAATGAAGGGGCATAATTATCCTACACTAGTATGAACACCACCAAGGCCATCAATACCGTCTATTGCTCATATTAGTTGATACTCCAGAGGAATGTATGTGCTGGAATTCCTACGAAAGTAATCTGCCATAAGCATCTCATCTTCGAGTGGATGATCTGCGCCAACAGCGACGATAGGTTTTGACTTCTTCATCGCCTCGAAGCCCTCAAGTTGACCACGCTCTTTTCTCCATTTCAATTCCTGTTCGATAACATGGAATAAAGCTGCACAATTCTTTAAACAACTTCAAATTTAATCAGCAAGATAATCGAACAATAGGCATCATAATCTTAAAATACCTCTCAACTTCTACATTTCCATAGGTTATGGAAATCATCATTATATCAAGCTCCTCTGGCTTTGCAGCCAAGGCTAACATAATGGCTAGAATATCATCGACACCTTTTGGGTTTTTATTAACTTTATATCCTGAAATAAAAAGGTGATTAAAGATCTTACCAGGGTCTGTATCAATAATGACACGGTTAAGAGACATCTTGACTGAGATTGAAGTTTCTTTCCCTCTGATCACTCTCTATATATGATGACGTCTGGACGATGATTGATTGTAGAGATAGGCAGAAAAGCAAAAGATAGAAGCAAAAGGAGAGTAGGACTAAAGAGGGAAAGGATAACTAGGCATAGAGAGATGATCTAATATCTAGTTAGGTAGTCTATTTGAATAATAATGCGCTGGATTGTTTGTTAGGTGAGTTCTTCAAAAGTATAAACCGGTATTTCCCCCCTCTGACTCTGGTAGATTCACCCTAGATTCACCTAGACTCACCCCGCCTCCAATTATCTTATCGGAGTCCCGGACATAATTGATCCGAAATACATCTTATCCAATGAGGTGCCCCTGCAGAGGCTTAAGGTGACGCTAGAAAACATGGGGAGCTCCAATAATGATTAAGGTTCAGTTGGTCTGTTACTTTTGTCTAAAGGCCACATCTCGATACAAGTTTCTCATCAAAATCATACAGTCATACATAGGGTTTGCAACCCCCATCATCCTATATCTTCCTACGCTCTATTCTCTGTTCTTCTATTCTCTCTTCTTCGAAGACATCCATATTCAATTCGGATTCACAAATTGTCTTCTGTTGACAATTAATTGAATATTCCTTCGTTCAATTTGATTCAAGACGAAAATCACTCATCAAACTTCACCTGATGTCCCAATAAGTCGACCGACCCCCATCCGAGAGAGCTCGAGAGCTTGGTTCCGACGTTATTTCTACGTTTAATTATCTGCGGTTCGTCTCATCATGAGTAACACCAGTCTACTCACTACTGCCATTGGCTGGACGGTTGTCATCGGCGCAGCAGGATACTACTACCTCAACAACAAATCCAAGAATAAACCCAAACCTCAGAATGTTGTTAAGCAAGCCAGTAAAGTTGTTGAAGATCGCAAGGAACCAAAGTCCAAGAAGTCCAAGAAGGATAATGGATTGAGCAGTGGTGAACAGGACAATAAGTCTTCCGCCAAGACCGAAAAGAAGAAGACTCCTGCTCCTCAGAAAACCGAACCCAAGCAGGAAACTGCTAAGCCTGTCGCCAATGATTCCGATGATGATGATGCGGAGAACAACCGTAAATTTGCTCTCCAATTCGCCAAAACTCAAGCTGGTACTCAACTCTCTGGTAAATCTTCTACAACTGCAAATCGTCAAAAGTCTGTCAAACAGTCTCGTGCGCAAGAAAAGGAAATTAAAGACTCTGGAAATATCACCGCTGGCGATGCTGATGATGATCAATCATTCACTGATTCTCCTGAAGTTGGCCCAACCAGTGTTACATCTCCTATCGCAAGTGGTATCGCTGATATGCTTGAACCTGCTGCTCCTGGTCCATCCGTCTTGAAAGTTACTGAACCTACCAACCCTAAGCCAGCCAAGAAAGAAAAAGCCAAGGCTGCTCCACAACCTACCGAGACAAAGAAGCAAAGACAAAACCGCGCCAAGATTGAAGCTGCCAAACTCGTAAGAGAGCAAGAAGAAAAGGAACGCAAGATCAAGGAGGAAAAGCAACGTCGTACAGCTAGAGAAGCCGAGGGTAAGGCTGCTAAGGATGGTAGTCAATTCATGGCCTCCCAAGCTGCTAAGTCCGCTTGGACTGCCTCCTCTGCCGACAATGCCACAAACATTTCCGGAAATGCTGGCACGTTCGACTTGCTTGACACCACCGAGGATAAGACAGACAAGAAGGCAGCTCCTCCGGTTGGAAGCTTCTCGGAGAGCGAGGTTGCAGGCAGCCAATGGCAAGGATATGGAGATTATGATGAGCATGTCAAGACTGTCATTGAAGATTCTCGTGAATGGGAGCAAGTTTCGAGCAAGAAGAAGAAGGCTAAGAAGGAGAAGCAGGAGAGTGCTGTTGCCGAGGGTGCTGGAACCACCAGCTCAAATGATGAGAAAGAGTACACCATTCCACCAAAGACTGAACGAAGTGCTCCAGGACAAAAGTGGACAGCAGACCTAACTTATGTGGACAAGGATGATAATGTTCATGAGATTCAGAGAGAACTTCAAGATTCTGAATGGGTGGTTTCATAATCACATCCTGGCAAAGGTTTATCTGATCAAGATTAATCAATTATTCTTGATATTAATCTGCCACCACCAAATTTGAATTTTCCATTCTTGTATTCTCATGGCGTTTGAGCCTTCCTTCACATGTACATTGTGATATTCGGGGGGGAAGGGTTAGTTTTGACTGCATAGGATCTCAATGACTTCTCTAAAAGTCTTTGCATTGGTATCATGGATGGTTGGCATATTGCATAGGTTGATGCACACACTGAATGACGTTTCCGAGTTATCTTGATTTGATTGGCGTCTATGGTCAAACTTTTCTAAATTCGTATGACAAATGGGATCAGATTAAAAATGCAGTTTGTTTAACTTTGCCTCTTTTTTTTTTTTCGTTTTTCTACTTTAATCTACTTTTCTGTTCATGGTCGGTCATGTCATGCATGATCTTAAACAAATGTACTATCAAATGATATTTAGGTCCTTGCATGGTTTCGTGGGGGCCAACAATTCATAGGAAAAAATGATCATGTCTTTAAAGTAACTTTGCAATATAAACTGTGATATGATGACGTTTCGATTATTGTGCGAATTTGACTACCTGATGTGAAGTGCACGAACAAATTGAACTATGTGTAATGGAATTTAGCTTCAAGGGTTCATCATTCTGAGTTTATCTGTAGAAAGGTGTGAATATTTTTTATGAACGAAAAAAGCCTTCTGTAGCACGAGCTAGGGTGTCTGTACCTTTGTCAGCGAGGGGAATCATTTTTCCGACACCGAGGAGCCGGACTCAAAGCTCGTTCATCTGTGCTGATACTCCACACTCAAAATGCTTGATTTAATCTCATTCCATTAACCTCTCAGGTTCATTATGTACGAGTACAAGTACTCGCCACAGTTTTGTAGAGTTATATGAACCGAAAACAAAACTAACCTCAAAAGTTACAACGCGGCGAAAAATGATTCGATTCGCTTCCTACTTTCACGGCTGACATGCATATGCAATACACAGGGTATCGATTCGTGGCTCGGTAGCTTGGCTCCATTGAAACGCCATGAAGAACCCTTGAGGGACCATGGAATCTTTCAGCCTCATACTTTTGCCAAAGTGACTGCTGTTGCCCCGAGGTTTGTCAAATTTGGGGGCTGGGAGTCTTTGGTTCGTGTCATTGATGTTTTGTGTGATGTTGATGTGAGTCGAATATATATTTAAGTTTTCTGCTGGCTCTTGTTTTTCTTTCATTTTCTTCCTTTTCATTGATTTCCAGTTGATTTTTATGTGAGGAAACGAAGAAGACGGCGGGCTTTGAGTCGATTGAAATTGCGACAGCTTGAGGAAGTTGCAGATTTATTTACACGTCGATTTGAAGAGTTACGGGACGAGGCTGAGATCTAGGAAATATGACATCTCTCGATAATACCAATCAAAATGTTCTTGGGCTGGTGGCATTGATTGTTTCGGTGGTAGCACTTTTAACTACTTGTTTGCAGGTGTTGCAGCAGTATTTTTCGAGTGCGGAAGGATATCGAAGATGTGCGGAATCGGTGATGGGGCCATGGAGCAAGGGAACGAAACGGAAACTTAACTTGAAGGAAATTCGAGTCGAAGTGGTGTTCGAGACGCCAGTTATATTCATTGCTCCTCCGGATAACAAACGAGGTCCGATTGAAAACAGGCCTATTCATTACATGGATGGCACGCCAGAATCATACGCAGAGTCGAGAGTTCTGGAACCTATAGCACAATCACAGAAGAATAAGGAAACAATTAAACAAGTTCATACAGCAGATGATGAACGAGCATCTTGGGTTACCCTGTTATCGAGTCTTGAAATGAATGAACACGACTCGCGCGAGTGGGATAAAAATTTCTGTTTGAAGAAGCCACCAAAAGGAAAAGCCACCAAAAACCCCGAATACGAATTAGCTGTGGCTTTACAAGTCAAAACACGATCTTGGGACTTCGTTCCATCTAGCATAACAAGGCCATATGCAACATCTGCCATATGTCATCTGGTTGAGATGATGGCTTTGTTAGGGATGTACTGGAAAGTATTCGATCAGATTCAGTGGAACCTCAGAGCGGAAGGCAATGGTTTCATTCTTACATCAACTACCGTTCACGGCTTAGGAGTTATGGTTACATTTTCAGTTACGGGGAGATCGAGTTTTGAGGAAAATCGTGTCATTCCATCCAATCATATCAAGGATTTATGTTTTGGAACGGTTCCAAACATTTTCGAGGATGACGACTACTTGGGGAAGAACCCGGAGTCTCAGAACGTGACGTTAGAATTCGGGAGCCCAGGAGATGTTGATAAAACTTTGGAATCTCTTGGTTGTACACCCGAAATTCTTAGAAGATATAGAAAAGATCACAAGCACATATTTTCAGGTAGGTTCTCTTCCTTTGCTCTACCAGAAAAGATGTCTAATTATTCACAGTCTCCTTTGAATTGATCGGTATGCTGGGCAAGGTAGTTCGACTTCGTGGTAGCAACTTTAGAATGATACCAAATCCTACCCAAGATTTTTGGTTGAAGAAGATTGGTAAAAAGCCTTCCTGGAACATCATCACACTAATGGAGATATTTCAAGACGAGCTTGAAAAACTTTCCAAGCGGGAAGACTATAACGAACTACACGCTATTGGTGCAGTTAATAAACAATTGAAAGACATTATATCTTTAATATGTGGAAATGATGAAGAACCCGTTACTTGCAGCCGAGAAAACAAGATTCGAAATCGACAGTCCGAATACGATCTTACTATAGAAGCGCGAGAAAGAATCCACGATGCCCTTGACGACAGGACCAGATTCCTCCTTGATTTGAAACAACAAACTATTCTCAAAGTGGTAGTAGCACACATCAGCCTCGTTACGAAAGTTCTGGAAAATCCTATTTCTCCTCTTAATTCTATCGTGGCCGTTCACAAAGAAGAACCGCTGCTAAATTACTACTTTGATCGAATCCTCCCCCAGATTACCACCCGAGATACCGATTCGCATCTTTTGGATAGAAATGAAAGAGAAGAAAGAAATATTATTTGGGTTTCCTTGATGTTTAGAATGTTGTGTTGGTTCTTACTGCATGATTGGAATAAGGATGATAAGTGTGGGGTTCCCCCTGATTTGAAAGGAAGCAGAATGCCGGTATATGTGGGATGATGTTGGGAATTGGTGAAATTAAGATAGACAGGAGATGGATAATTGAGAATGTGTGAGGAGTAAAATGTTGAAGGTTTGCTCTGGTCTTGCAAGCTTGCAAGCGTATGCTTAAGGGGTGTTTGAAATATATAGTTTCTTTTCACGACGCTATTCAAAGGATCATAGTACTCTACTTCTCAAATTGTTTGTAAATATACCCATAGAGCATAGCGTAGCATGCGAGGTATTTGGATATTAAAAGATTTTGATTTTAATTTAATTTTCTTCCATCACTCATTCCCATGCTGTTCCGCTCGCAATGTCATAACTTCATCTCTCACTTCACAGAACTCATCACAGAACTCATTCACCAAAAAGCTCCTCATCAACAACACAATGTCTAGCCATCTCAAACTGTTCATCTGTCAAACAAACCATAGTCCTATGTCTCGCCCCCTCCCTCCCCACATCCTGCACCACCTCCTTCATCTCCCTCCCATTCTTCTCCTCATCAATCTCAAACCCCAAACACCCCACCTCATCCACAACCCTCTTCCTCAACACCTCACTCTTTTCACCAATCCCCCCGGCAAAAACCAACGCATCAACTTTTCCATGTAAACTCACGTAGTAATGTCCAATATATGATAATATCCTATCGATAAATATATCAAGCGCGAGTTTCATTTGGGGATTTGTGGAGGAGGAAATTATAGTGCCGAAATTTGTGGTTCCTGTTAGCGATTTCCAGCCGGATTCTTGGTTGAGAATTTCTTCGGCCCGGGAGATGTGCAGGGAGGTGGTTGAAGAGGGGGAGAGTTTTCCAACGTTGGTGGCGTAGTGGAATACTAGACTTTTTGGCGGGGGAGAAGGGGAAGGGTTAGTTTGGTGGTTTGGCTTTTTGGGGGGGTTTGGGTTTTATTTTGGGGGTTTGGGGTGGGTGGTAGGTAGGAAGTTGGAAAGAAGAATGGTAGGAGGAAAGGAAAAAAGAAAAGAAATACCTAGGATCCAAACTCCCACTCCTCGTCGCCCCAGGCAATCCCGCTAAAGGCGTCAAGCCCATACTCGTATCCCAACTCCTCCCTCCCTTCACCGCACACGCACTAGCACCACTCCCCAAATGCAACGCAATAATATTCGTATCCTCTTCCTTCTTCCCTAAAAACCCCGCCACACTCCGCGTAATAAACGCATATGAAATCCCATGAAACCCATATTTTCTCAATCCATTCTTCCGCGCTATTTCCTGATTAATAGGATATGTAGATATATGTTCTGGAATCGAGGCGTGGAATTCGGAATCAAAGACCGCGATGTTGCGCGTGGAGGGGAGTGTGGAGATACAGTGCGAGATGATGGATAGTGCGGATGCGTTGTGTAAGGGTGCGAGATCGGTGAGGGTTTCTAGATGGTGGTAGGTTTCGTTGGTGATGATTTTGCTTTTTTTATAGTCTCCCCCATGTACGACCCGATGGCTTGCGATAGCTATATCTTCGACTTTGGCGATTTGCGGGAACGAAGCGTCGTTGATTAGATAAGTGAGAATGTATTGGAAGGCATCTTTTTGGTCGGAGATCTTCCCGTCTTCGAGTTCTTCGTCTTTGGTAATGAGGGTTCCTGAGCGAGTGTATTTTAGGGTTGCAGGAGGAGATGTGAGGCCCGAGATTTGACATTCGGCTAGTTGGGTTGGGGAGTGGTTTTTGGTTGCGCTGAAGATGGAGATTTTTACGGAGGAGGATCCGGCGTTTATGGAGAGGATTATTTTGGACATGATGGATGTGGGTGTGGTTGTATGCTGAGGTTGAGGGTTGAGGGTTGAGGGTTGAGGGTTGAGGGTTGAGGGTCGAGGGTTGAGGGTTGAGGGTCGAGGTTGAGGGTCGAGGGTCGAGGGTTGAAGTTTGAAGTTTGAAGTTATAGATGAGAATATGAGGGGTATTGAAAGTGGTAAGTAAGTAAGTAAGTCTTATTTGGAGTTTATCACTCTGAATATAGACTTCATGAAAGTAATACTCGATTCCTCCCTTCTTAAGGAGATGAAAAAACAACAATAATTAACATACCCGCCCCCAACATAATCATAAGATTTCCTCTCCACATCTCCCTATATTCCATCTTTCTCGTCCCATGCATGCATCATATCATGCAAACAAACAAATGAACGAACAGACGACGTTCAGAGAAACCCCGCCGTAAATTCTTATCGATGCCGAGAATGGTTGCTTATCTATTGGATGTTATAGTGGTTCCAGGGATAAGAGCTTCTGAATCCTCGGCGGGTACAGGGGGGATAGCCCGAATGTACAGGGCTGAGAAGCTTAAAAGCTTGGATCTTTCTCACGCCACTACTATGGGAGTCTTTTGGTACCTAGAGCGTGTTTCTTTGGGCTGACTGTCATGCCATTTTACTTTTGGCTAGGAGTGAAGATTTTGGATGATGGGGCCTATCAAGTAATGGTTATTGGAGGTGAGAAGGCTGATACGTTATGATACACAAAGCTCCTATTTAATCGAGCACCGAATGAATGTTTGGAATGATATAATCCCCACTGACTAGGGATATGACGTTAACACAAACACCAACGCCAGCCTTAACAAACAACTTCTCATGTAAGACTTCCCTATGGAAGACCATTAGCAATCAATTGCGTCAACAAGTTCGTGTAAAGGATCGGTGATTGTTACATTCCAGACTCGTCGGCATCTTAGCTCATTGGCACGGATGGATGATGGATGTGACGCAAGTTTCTTTGTTGGCGTTAAGAGCTTGATTTGTGTTTTGCCGTGTAATCGGGAGGGGTAGTTAAACATTGGATATGATATAGATGTATAGATGTGCTTTGATCTTTTATATTTCCAATTGCTTTCTACATTCTATCACCCAGTGTACTGTTCGTGACTGTGCTTCTTCTCGTTTATCCACTCTTCTGCGTTTGTGCTTCTGATGTCCCCTCCCTCATATATCAAGCAATCTCCTCTGACATCACTATTCTGAAGAATCGAACAACATTTGTACTACCTATAGTACGACGACGACCATAGTAAACTCAAGCAGACGGCACCAACACAAACCACCGCGAAAATGCCTGGAGAAATAATTGATAGACCAAATCCTCAAGCATTAGCTTCAAATATATCGGGCTCGGCGACAGTAGATGAGCTAGCCGTCAAGTTGGAAAAGTTACAAATCCCCAGTGATGCTTTAAGAGGACTTGAGGAATTTCGCAGAGCTAGCAATTATATTGCTGCTGGTAAGCATTTACCCTAGATGAATGACTTGAAATATTCAACTAGTAGTTTCATAGCTATGATTTTCCTTTCAGATAATGCTTATTTGGAAAGAGATCTTACATTCGATGATATTAAACCAAGACTTTTGGGTCATTGGGGTACATGTCCTGGTCTTACCTTAGTGTACGCTCATCTCAACTATCTCACCAAAAAGAATGATCTCGATATGATCTATGTTGTTGGGCCTGGTCATGGAGCTCCAGCAATTCTTTCTTCCCTCTGGTTAGAAGGTACTCTGGAAAAATTCTACCCTAAATATTCCAACAATAAACAAGGTCTTCATAATCTTATTACTGGTTTCAGTACACCATCTGGCTTTCCTTCTCATATCAGTGCCGAAGTTCCAGGGTCCATTCATGAGGGTGGAGAACTTGGATACGCTCTTTCGGTTGCTTTTGGTGCTGTTATGGATAATCCTGATTTGGTTGTTGCCTGTGTAGTTGGTGATGGAGAAGCTGAATCAGGTCCTACAGCTACTGCTTGGCATGCGGCTAAATTTATTGATCCTGCTGATTCTGGTGCGGTTATTCCGATTGTTCATGTTAATGGATTTAAGATTTCTGAAAGAACTATTTATGGTTGCATGGATGATAAGGAGCTGGCCTCTCTATTTACTGGTTATGGATATCAATGTCGATTTGTTGAAGATTTGGAGGATATTGTGAGTTGGGTACCCAATGATATTGGAGACTATGCTAATAATATTCTAGGATCGTGATATGGCAACAAGTATGCAATGGGCTTTGGATGAGATTCGTAAAGTTCAAAAAGCTGCCAGATCTGGTAAACCAATTATCAAACCAAGAGTATTTTCACCATTTCGTGACTCAAGTTTGTGTACTAATATCAAATAGTGGCCAGTACTTATTATGAGAACTCCTAAAGGATGGAGTGGACCAAAGATTGTTGATGGAGAATTTGTTGAAGGATCATTCCATGCTCATCAAGTTCCTCTTATGGCCCCAAAATCAAACAAAGATCAACTTGCAGATCTTCAAAAATGGCTTCTCTCATATGGCCCAGCTGAATTATTCACAGAATCTGGTGATGTTATCGATTCTGTTAAGAAAATCTTACCACCAGAACATAAAAAGCTTGGTCAACGACCAGAAACATACAAAATCCATGAAGTATTAAAAGTACCAGATTGGAAAAAGTATGGTGTTGAGAAAGGAACCGAAGTTTCTTGTATGAAAGCTATTGGTGATCTTCTTGATCAAACTTTGGTTGATAATCCTAAATCTCTGCGTCTCTTCTCTCCAGATGAGCTTGTCAGTAATAAACTTGACGCAGTATTCAAACATACTGGACGTGATTTTCAATGGGATGAATTTTCACATACTCAAGGTGGAAGAATTATTGAAATTCTTAGTGAACATACATGTCAAGGTTTCCTCCAAGGTAGATTATGTTCTGCCATTTTCCTACGCATTTATACTGACCATCTTCTAGGCTACACCCTTACTGGACGTACTGGAATCTTTCCCTCTTATGAATCCTTCCTTGGTATAATTCATACCATGATGATTCAATATAGTAAATTCAACAAAATGGCTCGGGAAACACGTTTCCGTGCTGATCTCTCCTCACTCAATTACATCGAAACCAGTACATGGACTCGTCAAGAACATAATGGTTTCTCTCATCAAAATCCTTCATTTATCGGTGCTGTTTTAAACCTCAAGCCTACAGCTGCTAGAGTTTATTTACCACCTGATGCGAATACTTTCCTCTCAACAATCGCTCATTGTCTCAAATCAACCAATTACATAAACCTAATGGTTGGATCCAAACAACCTCAACCTGTATTCTTAAGTCCTGAAGAAGCAAACAAACATTGTCAAGCCGGCGCATCGGTTTGGAAATTCTGCAGTACAGATGAAGGATTAGATCCCGATGTGGTTCTCGTAGGTATTGGTTCAGAACTCATGTTTGAAGTAATTGTCGCCGCCGCCTTACTTCGAAAAAAGTGTCCCGAATTACGAGTCCGAGTCGTCAACGTTACAGATTTAATGATTCTCGAAGCTGAAACTCTCCATCCGCATAGTTTGACCAGTGATGAATTTAATAGTTTATTCACCAAGGATAAACCAATTCATTTCAATTATCATGGTTATAGTAATGAGATTAAGGGTTTACTTTTTGGAAGGCCAAATTTGGAGAGAATGAGTATTGCGTGTTATAAGGAAGAGGGTTCGACGACTACCCCGTTTGATATGATGTTGAGGAATGAGGTTAGTAGGTATCATGTTATGGAATGGGCGATTAAAGGTGCAGCGAAGGGGAATAAGAAGGTGGCGCTTGAGATGACGGGTTGGTTGGGTGAGGTTAGAGGTAGTAGGAGTAGGGTTGGGGAATATATTTTGAAGAATGGGAAGGATCCTGAGGGACTTTGATACGCCGATGTTTGAGGGACGGTTTTGAGAGGGATCTGGAGGGAAGGGAGGGAGGGGAAGGGAGGGGGGGGGAAGAAGGAGGATGGGTTTTGTTAATTAAGGGAGGGGAGGGAGGTAGAGTGTAGAGTGGGGTGGAATTGGTGAGGGTGGGTGGATGGAATTGGTATATGGGTTGGGATAAGACTTAGGACTGGGTGATGAATGAATGACCTCCTCTCATAGGAAAGTACCTCACCATTACACTAGTGAACAGACAGACGACTTGTCTTGCTCATCAATTTCGTAAATGAAAAAACTGTCCTTCTTCCTTAAACTTTAACTCTAGGTTTATTTTGAGTTGACTTTGGTTTAATTTTCTCCTGTCTCCTTCGAATTCATTTTCGTTGCAACTGTGGCGTTTAGTCCAGTCAAATATTCTCAATCATGTCGAATTTTGTATCATCATTCGAATGCAAAGGTACAAGAGACCAACCTCTCAAGAAGAATCGTAGGGGAAAGGATGTATATCAATTACGAACCATATTCAATCGATGGACTAAAGATTCTAAAGATGGACAGGAATTTTTTGACATTGGATATTGGGAAGGAAAGAATGGAGTTTACCAACATTGCCTCCACGTTGGATCAGATGTTCGCAGGAGATATCCCAACCATGTCAAGGAATGGAGAATAAGCACCTAGAAGATTGGAAACGTGTTTATGCAGCAAAAGGTAAGATCTCCACAAACAATGCTCAAAACTTACCAAAGGAAGTTAATCCTCTAGGTGAAGGGGTAGGTTCATCTAGGAGTGAAGGTAATGTGGATGGCAAGGGAAAAATTATGATTTCTGAAACTCCTTAGGGACAATTAAATGCACCCTCGTCATAGTCGGCGTTGGTTGGAACTTGAGCAAAACTACTATTGCTTGAGCTGATCGAGTGCTTTGTTACTTTGTAAGAATGGATTTGTATTGTTATGACCTCCATTCATATCATGCATTGTATCGTTTGAGCCAATAAATTTTGCATATACCTACTGGCAATGGTAGATAATATCTATTAGGAGGAGAAATAGAAATGCTAAAGAAAAAGGTAAACTGGGAGGATGGAGAAGGGGCGAGGGAAATAAAAAATATAACCATATCCAAAGCAATTACTGTTGTTAATCTCAACGACGTCGTCAAAATTATGACAAGGTAGAATCGAGAGATGCAAGCTGTGGAGCTTTTGAGACAGGAGAGAATGTTCACAAAGTTGATGTTTTAAAAGTGTTAGAAGTGAAATTTCTAATTAGAGACAAGAACTACGAGACAAACTTGGTAGATCGGAAATTGAAATGTACTGACTGTATGATGGAACATGGAAGTATGAGATGTGGGCTTTGGTTATTTTCTTTACCTATGGACATGCACCGGGAGAGACTTGATACGAAAGGAGGTAGAAGAAGTACGCTGAGTTCAATAAGGGAAGATAAGATAGTTTGGAAAAAGGTGGTATTAAATATCTATGTACTAAAAGCTATCTTCACCAAGTTCCCACAACGTTGCGAACGCCTTCACCGCAAGTGGACTTCTGACAAGAATGACCACATGGCTGATGAAGACTGTGGACCATGTCGTGTTAAATTTGACAACATACCACTCCCCTGCAAGCACATAAGGGATGTAATCATTTGTCCACTCCCATTATTCGAAAAATCTCCAATCGTTCGCTCTTTCATCATGGAGAGACAAGATTGTCGTAGTATGACAAGCTCAAGAATCTCGTGATGTAACCTTGCATTCCCAAAGCCTCTACCATCATCCTGTCTGCCTGGTTGTGGAAGATGCATGTTGGTTGTGAATCACTACACGGCGAAGTGTCAAATTCTCGTGCACCTTCACCATTCATACCGCCTCTAGTATCTAGCGCGAAAGAATTCCAAAGGACGCTACGGATGTGGGGATGAACTTTCGACGCCCTCAGGCGGTCTTGTAAAGTTCTCAAGATTAGTAGAGAAAATTGTTTCATGTCGAGATTATGCTCTAGATCGTGTCGGAGTAGTCCTACTTCTCCTATCTCATAACCATGCTACCTAACTTCGGTCTACGGGGTCTCCAGGTGTGATTTGGGCTTACCATGTCGATAGTTCCATCGGGCAAAGTAGCCGGTAACCATTTGCGATTAAGGAACTGCTTGTACTTTGTTGCTGTTGCTTCTGATGGGGACCAGGAGCAAGTGGTTTTCAGAAGTCACTGGTGGAGGTGCAAAGGTTGAAACCGGAGTCATTGAAAAGGGAAAGGGAAAGGCGACCATCCATGGTTCAGATGCTGATTATGATGCTCTTCTTTCTGGTCCAATTATTTTCGGCAGAAATCAAGCTCTTCAACCTTTAAGTTGGGCTGATGAAGTGATTGAAGCATTCAACGCAGGTCCGGATCCAAGTAAAGTTGTTGGTGGTCACACTCATCGACCTGGCACGGTTGATGTCACGGAAGAAGAAGACAATCTTGAGGAGGAAGTTAACCCTGAGGAGGAAGCTAACTCTGAGCAGGAAGCTAACTCTGAAGCTGCTCTGCCTCAAGAGGACAACGACATGCAATGGACCGCTCGATTTATCTCAATCAAGAGTCCCAGCTCATTTGTCATTGCCTTCACTATGGGTAAAGGCCAGCAGAAGAAATTTCACGTTGGAGGTACAGCCAACGTTGAACTAAAGGTTAAGGACAATCTCAATGTTAGCTAACGTGAACTCAGGGCCATCGATATCCTTGCCACCAAGAAAGCCAATAACGACACCTACGGAAAAATCCTCGAGCGAGTCATCCTTGGAGAAGGCATGACTGACGTTAAATATGAGATAGCCAATCTTCAGACTTTGAAAGGAAGAGCATACCAATACTTGGGACCTGAGAGACAATGCCTTTACGACGATTGGCTCGAACAAAGTAACCTCGACTCTGTACAACGAGAAGCTTATGATGCAGTTATCGAGGGTCAGCTACCTATTACCATCATTCAAGGTCCACCAGGCACTGGTAAGACCATGAATAGTAGGGTCACCTGCGTCGGAGCAGCACAGCTTGGCAACCAAGTGCTATACACTGCACCACTAACAAGGCTTCTAAGAGTGTATTAATGTCGATCATTGAGAGTGCAGATATGTTGATTGGAAGTGCTCAGGAACTAGATGATAATCCTATATGCGTGAGGATTGCCAAGCAAATGAAGGAAGAGTTCAACATCATTTACTTCGCGACCAACGCTCGCACGAAATCGGACTTTTTGAAGGTCAATGATCAAGCTCTGCCAAATGAAATGAACTAGAAATCCGTTAGCAAGGAAGACGTTGTTCTTGAGAAATACAAGATCTGGTCTCATATTGATAGATCTTTCCGACGCAAGGCAAACGACCCAACTTTGACTTCAACAGATCGCCAAAAGGCAAGCAGCTGGCTCAAGACCCATGAACGTATTCGAGATGGTACTCCTATGCAAGCCCGATTGGTAAGACAATACGTGAAAGCCGCTCTCGTCGAAATGGAAGCAATCGTTACGAGAAAGACCACCAAGATCATCGTCTCAACCTGCAACAACTCGGAGCCACTCTATGACATGGGTTTTAGACCAAATGTTGTCATGATTGATGAAGCAGCTTTCGGCACCGAACCCGATTGTTGTATTCCACTTATGTTTGGTCAATCTCACGCAGTTTTCCATGGTGATCACAAACAATTGAAGCCAGTCGTTCAGTAGGTTGGAACCAACGAATTTTGTGCTCAATTGTCCAGGACTTGTTTCGAGGGATTGATCATGCAAGGAAATCTTAGGGTCGTTCAACTCAAAGAGAACTATCGTACGCACCCGGATATTGCTAACCTCCCTGGGATCCTAAGCTACGAATGGCTTGACAGTGCTCAAAGAACAAGAACTGAGACGGATATGTTCAGAAGAATTCGCGATTGGTTCAATAAATCTGAGTACAAGACTCTTCGCCGTCGTCCTGCATACGGAGCCAGCGCCCACGCCAGCATCCGACGTCTGCTCTTCAATGTTCCTACTGGGACTTCGGCCGCTCCAGAAAATAGCGAATCAAAAGTAAACTTCGCAAATATTAACGCAATTGTGAAATTGACTCTAGATATCCTGGCAGCCACACCAGATTTCCATCTTGACAGGTTACAAGGAACAACTCGAAGAAATCAAAGTCATGTTAACCATGGATTTTTTAAGAAAGGGATACACTAATATTCCCCAAGTTTTCACCATTTACAGCATTCAAGGTGGTCAAAATGAGTTCACCATTATTGATATTACTGCAGCCAATGAATTCCACCCAAGTCTTATCGGTTTCATCAAGGAGTGGAATCGTATGAACGTTGCCCTTACTCGCGCTAGGCAATTCCTCTGGATGGTCGGTAACCTTGACGCCTGGCGCCGTGAACTTGGAAGTATCGTTCAAGTTCAACGTGCCAAGAATTTCGCTTTCCTGATCATCGATCTCTTGGACCTTGGTGATATTATCGACATGCGCAATATTGCGAATCGTCTTCCCATATCTTTCGAAGAGTATAAGCTAACTGCATCCAGGGACTGGACTGGATCGCCTGCCCAAGGCGAGGATAAGAGTTATCTTACCAAAAAGGACCTGCAGAAAATCGCCGAGTACCGTTGGAAGATGGTCAATTTCGAGAAGAATCTCCTAGAGAAACTTCAAGAGCTCCGAGACAAGACCGCCAAACACCAAGCCGATCATGATGCTGGGAAGCATGTCAATCTGCCAAGCGGAGGTGTAGATCAGAATGTCGACGGTTGAATTTTGACTTTTTGGTTAATCCAGCTGTAGAAACACATTCGCCTAGAAGACCGAAAACCCCAGATTTTGTTGATGGATGGTAGATTTGATATGTTGTTGGAAAGTTTTTAGGGTTATTTATTCCCACTGGCTTGAAATTGGTGGTGGTGGTACTTAGTCATCCTTGGAGAAAATTGAGAGAGGGGACGAAAGGGGAGGAAAGGAAAGTACAGGGCAGGAAAGAATGAATGGAAAGAATACGCAACCTACCTTGACCCAAACCGGATTGCATGACAGCATAACCAACAGAATTTTCATTTGCAGTCTCTGAATCCGTCCATTCATTCGTTACTCAATCACTCCTCCCTACACTACATCCCCTCACATATCAACATCACATTCGCACAACACCCCTAACCTTTGGATATATTTTTATTTTTATTATCCACTACTAGCAAACACTCATGCTCATGCTCAAAGAGCTCAGCACATCGCTGTCATTGCTAAGCATACTCATACTCTTATCCACATTCATATCGACTCCTTCCCCTCATTTCCACACGATCATCCACACACATCCATCCCACCATATAAACCCAACACCCAACAAAGAATCCCAGCCCAAACCGACAAGTATATCATAGAACTACTTATCCTGGTATCATATCATGCCTGAATAGAGTAAAAGTATATCAAAACAAAGCAAAACAAAAGAAATCCCAACCTCAACCTCTGAGAAACCAAACTCCATGTACCATTTTCCCCATCCGATTCCGCTTCCCGGGCCCATCCAACCATGGTATAAAAACCTTCCTCTCATTTTCTCTTTTCATCAATATCAAAACAATTATATCCACCAATCCATCATCCAACCAATCTGCATCAACTATCCACTTCCACCTCCACTCCCCCACTAATAATAATCTTGATCAAAAAGTCCACCCCCAACTCTCGAGCCATGTATAAACGTCGTGAACTCGTTAAGTCGTGGTATATACCGAAAAAAGAAACCTCATAAAAAATTCCCGAAATAAAATAAATAAAAAAGTATTATATACTTGAAGAAGAGAAAAGTAGCTTTTGCATCCTCATCATCAAAAGCCGATGTAACCGAGGGAAGTGAAAAGAAACGGATAAATAAGAATCCCGAAACCACCCGAAGGGTGGCACCACCACCTTCCCACGGACATTTTTAAATTAACCGAACACAAAAGCCATCGGCTCATGTGGAAACGCCAATGCCGAATGCAATACTGAATGCATCCAATATATGTATTCCACTTTTTCCCATTCATATCCAATAACCAAAGTTTTGAAGTAAAAAATTGCCCAAAGTGTCGACAAAGAATGAGGTGTGGAGAAGCCCTTTATGCAAGATACTAGAAAAGTAATATTACCTGCATATTCACAAAGGGAAATGGCCGTTGTGGGGAGAGAGGATCGATGATCCAAGCGGAGGCTTGAATAAATATGATTCCGTACGACTTGGGTTTTTTTTAATATCCTCTAATTGGTGAGATAGAGGATACTGAATAAAAAAACTTCTCGATTGAATTTGGTACGTGTCTTAATTCAATGCTGCTTCCGCCAATAGATCTAAACTACTGGTTGTGACTTTGTTTCTGGTAGGTAAATTTTTGAAATCTGCTTGAATACCAGATTGTAATGGTTGCGATGAACCCACGAATGAATTATACTGAACTTGGGTCTCTTGATCTCTTAAATCGAAAGGAGGAATATCTGATGATGACATTCGAGATGGCGTTTTATTTCTTGGAGATCGCATGCTGATTGATGGAGAGGATTTCTTTTGAACCCTAGCCGGCATTGTAAGTGGTGACTTTCTATTTAATCTGCCACTCGTGCTCGAGGTAGTACTCGATGAAGATCTAGGCTTGTCCTTGTAATGAGTGTCAAGGTGTTGCTTCATGTTGTCCGCCCGGGTAAACTTCTTCACACATCCAGCAAAAGTGCATCGCACCATTTTTTCGGCAGTGTGTATTTTGGCATGCCGGGATGCATGACCGGAGGTAGTAAAGGTTTTGTTGCATTGATGGGATTCCTTAAATCGACATGAGTAACGTCTCCCAGGAAGACGTTCAGTAACCCCATGATAGGATTCGTCGGGATAGAAATGTTCTTCGGGGTATTGTTGCATGTTGATTGATTGCATCGCTTTTTGAGTGATGGATGGTAGAGAGGAACTTGGACGGAATTCTTCCATGGAATTGCGCTCGAAACAAGTATAATCCTTACCATACTGCATTGGGAAAGAATGATTTCTTCCATGAGCACTTGGTGTGAAGGTAGGTGTAATTGGTGATTGAGCTTCATTTGTGTGAGAATCATAGGAATCCGAACGAAACAAACTTGGTACTGATGTACTGCTTGTGATTGATAGATTGGAATTTGTTCGAACCATATGCGGGGATTGTGGAGAATAATTCCTCGCATAAACTGACGCTCCATAGAAATCATAAGAAACGTCTCTGAATGGTAATTGTGGTAGTTGTGAATGTGAATGTGAATGTGAATGTGAGTGTGAGTGTGAGTGTGAGTGTGAGTGTGAGTGTGATACAGGAGATGGAGAAACCTCCGTTGGTAGGGTGGTATTGAGTAAAGATATTTCGCGACCCGAGGAATCTCTACCCTTCATACTGGGTCTCTTTGTTGATGACATTGCGATGAATTTGTAGATTTGCGAACTGTGTTTGAAATTCGAACTGGTAAATGGTAGGGAATCAAATACCTTTCACTCTTGCTTGAAAAGGATTGGAAGTTGGACCTGATCTATCGAATGTTGATATCTGAATGTTGAGTGTACAATTTCGAGTACATATGAAGACAAGGAGGGGAAAATGGTAGTGGATAGATAATATGTTGAGCGGGATTGAAAACTTAAGAATCTTCAATTACTTGAATATGGATATGAATAGGATTGATTTGTAGGTAAAGATACCAAGGTGAGTAAGTATATCTGCTTCGAATCTTATTGATGGTAAGGGAATATCCAAAAGGTTCGGGTAGAGATCTGATGAAGGAGGTAGGCGGAGATATGAGCAAAGATGGAAGAACACCACGACAATTGGTAGATGCGAGTAGGTATGTATGAATGTATGGATGGATGGATGGATGGATGGATGGATGTATGTGTAGGCAGGTAGGTAGGTAGGTAGGTAGGTAGTAGTGATAAAGGAAGAAGAAACTTTCCGATGAAAAGGAAGTATATTTGCTTATATCGGATTTGTGTAGAAAAGGATCAGAAAGATTTCGGTAGATATTTTCGATATGGATATTTGGATCAGATATAAGTAAAAAAAAAAAAATGAATCTGAAATAGTTTTTCGGAAAATAGAGAGAGGGGAGGGGGAATCGTTGGGTCATTGACAATAAGATGGGATTCTTCAGAAAGATATGGGAATTTGGCTTTAAGACGGATTACACATGGGTCCCTTTCTCTACCTTGGAACTTTATGGTGCCTGAGCCTGAACAGTGGATGTCAAATGGGGGGGGATTATTATTTATTTTATTTTTCCAACTAGTTTATGAAAATAAGCTTGGATAAGAAGGTACTTGGATAGATAAGTACCCTTTTTTATTTTATTTTATTTTATTTTATTTTATTTTATTTTTTTAAATGTGGACTAAATAAAAGAATTGACCAGGATGGAAGAAGACTAGGAAATAATTAATAATAAGGGTCGATTCGATCGAGGAGATGCATCCATCGACACATCCATAGGTCCATGGGGTTTAAAGGGTCAAGGAAGGGTGAATGGTGAAGGGTGAAGGGTGAAGGGTGAAGGGTGAAGGGTAAAAGGTAAAAGGTAAAAGGTAAAAGGTAAAAGGTAAAAGGTAAAAGGTAAAAGGTAAAGGTAAATGGTAAAGGGTTCAAAAAATGTTGGAAGTATGAGACTATGAGACTATGAGACTATGAGACTATGAGTAAAGTGCATACAGTACACTGCACTGCAACTGCACTCACTTACTATGTGTGTGAGTGGGGCAAAGCTGGCAATGATGGGAAAGTGGAGTTTTTGGATACAACTTTACCAGGAAAAAGAAAAGTAGGTGTGTCGTGTGTTATGGCTTTTCTTTCTTTTGGGAGCTTTCGACCAGGATACTGGGAAAAGATGGCACAATACGGAGGATATGTAAATCATTACCCAAGATGGATAAGGGAATATACAGAGATTGACTGCATTGGGAAGAGTCTAAATTAGCCAAAGCATTACATACAAATATCGACTGACGATCTACGATGTGATGTGATGTGAACAATTGGACATGGTACGGTGCCTAGGGTAGGGAGGCATTGAAAGAAATATTATAGATATATGAACATTCATAAGATTACCTACATATACTCGCTATGAATTAGACCAAAATGACAACTATATGTACATTCCTGTCGTCCTTCGCTGTACACGTACAGGATTAGTATCTATTCTCAATTCTCAATTCTCAATTCTCAACGGCCGGCCACCACTCACATGCACCATGATGAATACCCTGATAATGGAAACATACCTTACCTTTCCTGGACGAGGAAGAAGGCAACAACGCCTTGCATATGAACCGAACCGTGAGGGAACTCTACTCAACTTTGACTTCCCGCATATATTGTACTCCATCTCCATGTTACATATTATCCACCATTCACCCAGTCAGCCTCTGAAATGCAACTTCTCACCACCCAGCGCACGGGAACAGACTTGCTGGAAACAAATTAGCTATCTGCTTAAATCCCGACCGAACATTTTGAGTAAGGACCTCGGCCTAATAGGGAATCCTGCCTGCAATTCTACTATGACCTCCGATGCGAATATACGACGTTTTACATGCAAATACCCCTTCCAACTTCTCACATTTGACAATAAACTATCTGCACATCACGAAACTGATTTTAATCCCCCGAGATTTCACACGGAACTTTCTAGTCCAACGCCTCACGATCAACTCAAGAGATCGACAAGATAAAATATACACGCACTTGATATTACACTGATACCGTATTGACAACGCAACCACAAACCACAACCCCAAGTAAGCAGTAATGTAAGTACGTAGGTATCCCAAAAACCGGGGACAGATCACATCAACCACCCCAAGCCGAAATAATCCATCCCATCCATCACATATTCTTCCCGAGAACGATTCCACTATATTCTAAGCTGGACCAAAATGCTGCATCCCACGGGCGCGGCAACGTACAACACATGTGATACAGCATATTATCTCTTCATTCCCCAATATGCCGTTGGCTCAAAATGAATGTAGAGTGTGGGAAAATTTATATAGAATATCTTATACACAGCTTCTCTCTCTCACCGTTATTTGAGTAATACAATCCTTCATGATACTTTACGGAGCAATTCACATATCTTACAATACGCATTGTTTTCATGAACGGACCACCTACCTACCTACCTACCTACCTACCATGTGAGCAACAAGCTAGAAAATATGAAGTCATCGAGTTTCAGCTTTTCCCATCTGCGATGAATCGAAGCTAAGGATTACCTACCTACCTACATACATACATACATAGCTAACCTACCTAGCTAGTACCTTGGTTAAGTTCTGACGCCAACACGCCAACGGAACTTATTATATTAATAATAATAATACTATTATTATTATTATTAGTATTATTAGTATTATTAGTATTAGTATTAAACAATTCCGCACCGAATCTACGGAGTTATAAGAATCTAATCCCAAACCTAGTAATCCGAACGAACCAAGCTATCGGAAAATCCGATTGATCATCTCACCTCACCTATGGAAATCCAAGCCAACGCACTCGTACTCCGTGTATTTGATAATTACAATAAACTTTCCCATGTACACCTCGCTATCCAACTTATTTTCCCTCCCTTGTTCACTACACCCCTTTGACCCTTTATCTCTCATCAACTACAAGCAGATCTCGTGGCGCAGATATGTATGTATGTATGTATGTATGTATGTATGTATGTATGTACCTAGTATTAGATCGAAAATGATTTATTTTTAATCACAGACTGTCGGACCCTTAGATCTATGGTGCAATGACGGGATACAGATATCCAGACAGATATACTAGATATATATATTTTTCTTCCCGTTGTCCTGGGCTTTTGTGCTCCACTCTCTCTACACATAATACTCTTGTGCTCTACTGGATACTTGGATACCTAGATACCTGGATACACACACTCGCACCAGAAAGAAAGTCAAAGGGTCCTCGTACTAAAGACGGGGAGGACTAAACTTTCCCGAATAGTTGTCATATATCATATTCTTGAGCTTTTGTACAACTCTTTGTACTACACTTGGTTATCTTCCCTTGCATTCATAGTCCTTCCTTCCATGCATCCATCCGTTTGCAAATCCTTCATTCACATATACACCAGAAGGAACACAAAACCCCCATGAAATAAAAACTTTCCGAAGAGACAGTATGTCCACGTCCCTCTTCCTGACACCACAGATCAAATATATTTCCCACCCATTCACCCCTCATCCTCACCATCCACAAAATGTCATCCCCTCATCACTTCATCATTTCACTACCTCAAAACTTCACATACATACATACATACATCCATACATCGATTCATCCATTCGCTACATCATTCGCTACATCATCCGTATTACATTAGTAAAGTTCCTAAAAATATAATAGAAAGCTGATTAAAGTGATGTAGCAACAAATCGATTTCAACCGGGCATTGGTGATTATATGCTGCATGCAGTCTAACCTACGGTCGTTCCTCAGGATGGGACGGATAGATACAGAAAGGACCCCTGATTCATGTTGTGGCACTCGTCATGATTTTTGTGATAGATGTTTTATGGTTGGATATTTGTAGGTTGATTGGATATGAAAAACTGGGTGCATGATGTAAGTATAGATGAGGGAGGGAACGGGAGTGGAATGGAATGGAATGGATGAAGTGGTTTGGATTTAGAGCGCGATAGATTTACATACTTAGGTGCTTGCCTTATCATTGATATTAAGTTGTGTTAGTTTGATAAATAGGTAAGGTTACATTAGATATTGTATCAATTTCTGGTATTAAGACTTATGTTATCTACCGTATCTAGATAGTTGTTGAGACTCCGTACAGTACTCCGTCAAATCGAATCATAGAGACAGGACCATCAGCCATCAAATCGAATCATAGAGACAGGACCATCAGCCACCAATCATCCATCAATCATCCATCCATCAAATCAGTAGAGGTAAATAAGGATTCGTAGAGTACACAAAATGAAACCATCAGACCAGACATTGTCAGACTCATACGATGTCTATGATCAAGCCCCTGGATTAGTCTTACAGTATATATAGTACAGTAGATACAAAAATATCACAACTCACGGGATCATGGAACTATTCCCAAAATCATATATTCGAGTCTCAAAGTATTCTTCATCGGCAAGCAGTAAGAAACATATAAGACGCACCCGTCTCCCAATTTTCATCAAGCAGGCCCTATTTTAAATTCATAAATCTCAGATCATCGTCATAGGGGATCTCGACTAATCCAAAATCAAGCTTCTAGAAGAAATCTCCCAAATCTCAATCCATATAAAGTACCTAGTAATTTCCTCACCTCTCCTCTCCCAGTCCACCACGGAAACGCACACGGGATTTCTCACCCAAAAATTTCATCCATGCCACGTTTCCCAAACCAACACATTAAGGTAGGGAGGGTATGTATGTCCTCGAGTACTTGGGTCCCTTTTAAAACGAACCCTTTGATCACAAAATTATAAGGTCGATCTTCTTTAAAACTCCATCGAACCCCACCGAATCTCGATGACTTTTGATCTCTTCACACATTTTCCCATGATGCATCGACGATGAGGTTCCAATTAGGTTTAGCTTGTGCCTTTAACGTCAGCGATGTAATCATCTAGAACGCACTTTGACCGGGATATGGAAAAGTTTAAATGCTGACCCTGCCTTGACAATTCTTTTTTATTTCTTTTTCAAGGGGAATCCGGTATTTATTTTGTATTTTATGATCTCCACCCGACTCCACATAATCACGTTAGAAACATAGGGAAGAATGACAAGAATGGAAAGAATGGGAAAAAAGAATGGGAAGCTTATGTCATATGATGATCCACACCACCCTGAAAATGATCCGCTTCGAGGGAAAACTGGGTCCCGCTTAGATAAACTAAACTGGTCCCTTGGTTCCAACATGCGACCCCTCATGTGTAGTGCCAATGTGTCAGGGTTCTCCATATCGCGATCATACACCGTTTTCCTCGATCTTCTTTGCCTGTGTGACGTCACGAGATGGAGAGATTCCCATGTTTGAAAGTTTTTTTGCGTTGAAGGGTTCTTTTCGGGGTTGTGAAGGGGGGGTTGTATGGAGTATCTGTATGTGTGTGATGAGTAACTAAGATTTTTCTGAATAAGCTCTTTCTTCCA